AAGGTCCTCTCCCAACATTCTACTCTGAGCCCCATATCTGGCAACAAACACTTCCCTTTATATCCTTTGCTATGCCTGCTCCTAGTTGGGCAGAAAGCTGTAAGTCTTCTCCTCCTAGGTACTTCCACCAACCATAACCCCCACAGATACCTGTAGAACACTCAACAGTGTTGACTTCCTGTCTCTCCTGCCCTGCCCTTCTCCAACACCCTCTACCCCCCATCTTAGAATTTCTTATACTTGTCTGCCCTCCTCATCTCACTACCCCTTCTCCATTCCTTGTTTTGTTCAATGCAGTCTCCTGCATCATCTTGCTTTACAAGCTCTTCTTTTATGGATATAGAAGTCTCCCACTAACACAAAATGCTGATCCAATGCTAAACCTGGAAACAATGTAATAGATGGCAGAATACTGGTCCTCAGAGGTGGTGGCTGCATTATTTTATCTTTCAGGCTTTTTTTCCTCTTTAGGTCACGTGTCAAACACAAAGGCCTCAGGCTGAAAGCTGCCCGACAGGCCATTTCTTGTGGCACTTGCACCTTTCCTGCAGCACCCCCCACCTTTGCTCAGCAGAGAGGACAGGACTCCTCAGCAAGATTCTGCACTCTCAAGCCTGCAGGCTGAAAGCAGCCCAACAGACCACTTCTTGTGACACTTCCACCTCTCCTGCAGCTGCAGCACCCCCTACCTTTGCTCAGCAGTCATTAGCAGAGAGGAGGACAGAACTCCTGCACTTCTCTGCAACGGTTCATCGTTGACCTGTCACCCACCCATCTCAACAGTTGGCAGTAGAAAGGTTGATAGAACTTCTCCTCCAGATCCTGCGCCTTTCTGTGCATTTGCAACACCCCCTCCTCTCTATATTCTCTGGTCTCAGCATTCCGCAAACACTATTCCTCCTCCAGACCCTGCACTTTCTACTTCCCAGCTCTGCCCCCAGCAGCACAAGGTAAGGGAGGGTGGTGGACTCTAGCTTTGTGATGGTGATTGGAGGGTAGTGGGGATGCTCTTGACATCTTAGAGATACAACCAGCCCTTTGACGACGACCATAATAGTGATGCGGAACGCAATGAAATCAGGTTTGACACCCCAGCTTTAGGGGATCCTATCAACAAGCACACTACCTGTCCCCCCGGCTGACAGCAGTCACTACTGTACTTCTGGAGAAACAGAATTGTTAGCCTGTGGCAGAACTAGCAAACAACTTCCCTGCATTAACATTGTGTAAGGAGGTGTTTTGTAGTCCATTAAGGTCAAGCCCTTCCATGCAGAACAGGAAGATAGGAAGCTGCCAGATTTCTAGCAGGAGCAACAGGTATTCTTCTGTATTTGCAGCGTGTGTAAAGAGATAAGACATGGGGACTGTGCATTACTTAAAAAGCATTCACTAAAAAAAGAAAAAACTCAGATCAGGTGCTGTGTCTTAGCTGACCCACATGCTTGTTCCCAGGTTACTGTCAAACTATCGAAGGTGCACAAATTTGTTACTTTTAGTATTTACCCACCCCCCCACTTTCTTCTATACAATGTCAGACAAAATTCTGCAGACCTCCACAAGCTCAGGTACTGCAGAATGCATTTGTTCAGCTGGCAATCTGCCCTGTGAATTCTGCCATCTAGTGGTCAGAATTGGCGCTGCACCAAATTCAACTGTGCCTGGTAGCAGGTTGCCATTTTTGTATTAACTACCTGCCGACCGCAGATAGCCGAATGACGGCTGCACTACGGCCGGCCAGTTCTGAGTGGACGTCATATGACGTCCTCCCAGAACGCGCTCTCCTGCACGCCCCAGGGGGCGCGCACCCAGCGATCTCCGTGATCGCTGTGTCCTACGGACACAGCTGATCACGTGATGTGGTAAAAGGCCAATCACAGCGGCCTTTTACCACGTGATCAGCGGTGTCCAATGACACGCTGATCAGAGGGAAATGCAAGTGCCGGTTCTCGGCTGCACTTTCCTCACGCTGTCAGATCGTGAGGAAAGTACTGCCGAGAACCGGCAGTTGTCAGAGCGGGGATCGGCACCGATCATCAGGGCACTGATGATCAGTGCCCTGATGATCGGTGCCCAGCAGTGCCACCCGCAAGTTCCGCCCACCTGTGCCCAGCAGTGCGCCCACCTGTGCCCAGCAGATCACCCACCTGTGCCCAGCAGTGCACCCACCTGTGCCACTCTGCAGTGTCACACACCTGTGCCCACCAGTGCCACCCACCTGTGCCCACCCACCAGTGCAGCTCAGCAGTGCTGCCAGTCAGTGCCCAGGGGTTGTGCCAGTCAGTGCCCAGCAGTGATGCCAGTCAGTGCCGTCTATCAGTACCCATCATCAGTGTCACCTATCAGTGCCGCCTATCCGTGACACCTCATTAGTGCTGCCTATCAGTGCCGCCTATCCGTGCCACCTCATTAGTACTGCCTCAGTGCCCTTTAGTGCTGCCTATCAGTGCCGCCTCTTCAACGCACATCAGTGAAGGAGAAAAAATACCTGTTTGAAAAATTTTATAATAGAAACAAAGAAACTTTTTTTTTTTTTTCAAATTTTTTGCACTTTTTTTTTAATTTATAGCGCAAAAAGTAAAGCGCCCAGTGGCGATTAAATAGCACCAAAAGAAAGCTCTATTTGTGAGAAAAAAAATGATCAAAATTTCATATGGGTACAATGTTGCATGACCGCGCAATTGTCAATCAAAGTGCGGCAGCGCTGAAAGCTGAAAATTGGCCTGGTAAATAAGGGGGTATAAGTGCCTGGTAGGCAAGTGGTTAAAATGAAAGCCAAACACATTTGCAAAGACGGCATTACATTTAGGCCCCATTCACACTAGAGCGTTTTGAAATCGCGGCTATTCTTCCCACTGTTCAAAATGCCCTAGTGTGAATGGAGCCTTAGGATACATGGACGCCTGCGAATGCGTCCTGCTGTCGATTACACGCGAGAACCCCAGCAGGCGTTCCCACGATTAGCTGCAAGTAGGCCTGACCATGAAGGGGGGTAAATGTTCCAAAGGGCAAATGGTTAAACTATACAGGGTATAATGGAATTTTAACATTAACCACAAAATGTTCTGTTTGTTTGCCTTCCATTCAGGAGCTACGTTTTAACCACCTCCCGTCTAGGCCATGTATATAAACGGCCAGGCGGTGGCAGTGCAGGGTGGCCGTTTATAAACGGCCTCCCCGCACCCTGCTTGTGCGCGCAGCACCGCGATCCGGTGCCCGCTGTGTCCTCCGGACACAGTGGAACACAGATCGGACGGGACCTCTGTGCGAGGTCCCAATCATGTGATCACTGATTGGCCAATCAGTGATCACATGCAGAGTAGTAAGCAAGATGTCACTTCTGACATCATTGCTTACTACGTTTGAAATCTGTGAATGATCAGAGATCACATGGTACAGGGCTATTCACAAGAACCTTGTACCATGTGACAAGCTGTGACCAATCACAGCTCACTCAGTAGTTTTCAATGGCTGCAAGAATGCAACTAGAGAGGAGAATGGCTGTAAAAGCAATCAGTGTAAAAAATAAAAAAAATCTTCAATCATACCCCCCCACAAGTAGTACAGTGTCACCATGGTGACACTGTACTGCTAGGGTGACAGTATGTAAAAAAAAAGGTAACCAAAAAAATTATTTAAACTTTTTTATAAACTAATTTTTTTTTTTTTTTTACTAAAAAGATAACTGAATAAATTTTGGCCAAGATTTATGATGAAATATTATTTATTTGCAAAATGTTATAAGAAAAAACACTTTCAAAATTTTTGGACATTTTCATTTACATAGCAAAAAAAAAATAAAAATCCCAGCGGTGAATAAATACCACCAAAATAAAGCTTTATCTGTCTCAAAAAAATGCTAAAATATTCATATGGGTACAGTGTTACATGACCTGCGCAATTGTCATTCAAAGTGGGATAGCGCCGAAAGCTGAAAATTGGCCTGGACTAGAAGGGGGTGAAAGTGTCTGGACTGGAAGTGGTTAAAAAAAAAAACAAACAAAAAAAATTAATTTAACCACAGACCAAGTATCTGTAGATAGCGGTTTAATTCCATAAACTGTTCTGTTCCAGCTTTATCACACATCATATAAAAATATACAAGAGCAAGGTAGGAAGAAAAAAAAAACCATTTTCTTAAATCATTGTCAAAGATAACCTTTTTCTTTTTCCCTAAAAGGTGTAAAATATAAAACAGGAACGTAATTCTACAGCCAATATTTAATAAGGGATTGACAAACAAAAATTCCCCTTAAAGGACTTGTCCACCTTCCTGTGTAACTTTGTGCCAGTTCTGTCTCCATGAGAACACGTCACCTGGCCGGTTGATCTTTCAAAAAATTGACATTGCTACTGCAAATTAACAATGGAACTGGAAACCCCCCACAATCAAAGGGAGTGTAACTATATACAATTTATATGAATTTGATACAGTGGACATGTCCTTTAAGAAGCCTTCGTACCTCCCGGTAATATTGAAGGAGACAGGACCATGCTAGATTTCTAACTTCATGGCAAAGCCTCTGAGACACGATGTGATGCATCTGTTGTACCTACAGCCATGCGCAAACAAAACATCAGCCGTTTCCAATCAAACGGGCCAATTCCAAGTGTTCTAACCTACAGCAGCCAATCCAATCAGGATTCACTGTTGTATTCAGGGCAGTATCACATTAATTCTGATTGGTTACTATTAGATTACAGCATTTAAAAACCAAGGCTATTTTGCCCCTTACACAAGCACCCCCTCTTAGTCCTATGTCAGGGACAATCATGTTATCAAAGGCAGTGGATTCTTGTCAACGCTCTATTGAGCAGAGAATGCTGTGCTCCTCACACACACGCAGATAACGGTTCTGCTGAGCTCAGACGGGAGAGGAAGGAGGAACAAATTCTGGGGACTCCTGGCAATCGTCACTCTTTGAAGGAGAAAAAATCGGCGTAAAAATAAGTTGTTATACATATAAAAAATAAAGTCTTAAAGGGTTTCTGGAGAGTCCAGATCACTTCTTCTGTTTCGGGGGAGGCCTGCAACAGACAATGAAAGAAAATGAATTCGGGAAAAGAGCATTATACAATACAGAGCGGATACAGGAGGGGGCGGCGTTACATTCAGAGGGGTGCTGACCTTTGTATGGGGTGTAGAGTGGGGGGGTCCGAATTAACATTCACACAGGTCAGAGCAGAAACATTCACAATTCAGCCCCCCTCAGCTCTGCCCCCCCCATTCACATTGCAGCACTACTCAAGCTCTGCCCCACATTCCCATTGCAGTCCCCCTCAGCTTTGACCTAATCACATTTTAGCCCCTCAGCTCTGCCCCCATTCATACTGCAGCCCCACATAGCTCTGCCCCATCACATTGACACCCCCATTCACATTGCAGCCCCCTTCAGCTCTACCCCCCCATTCACACTGCAGCCCCCTTCAGCTCTACACCCCCCCCCCCCATTCACACTGCACCTCTACTCAGCTCTGCCCCCCCCATTCACACTGCACCTCTACTCAGCTCTGGCCCCCCCCCCCCCATTCACACTGCACCACTACTCAGCTCTGCCCCCCATTCCCTTTACAGGCCTCCTCACTCTGTCCAATTCACATTTTAGCCTCTTCCCCCCCCCCCCATTCACATTGCACCACTACTCACTCTGCCCCCCCCCCCATTCACATTGCAGCACTACTCAGCCCTGCCCCCCCATTCCAGGCCCCCTCAGCTCTGTCCAATTCACATTTTAGCCCCTACAGCTATACTCCGCCTTCACATTTTAGCCCATTCAGCTCTGCCCCCCCCCCCAATCACAATTCAGCACCCCTCAGTTATGCACCCAAATTCACATTGCAGCCCCCTCAGCTCTGCCCCTTAATTCACATTACAGCTCCACTCAGCTCTGCCCAACCATTCACATTACAGACCCCCACACCTATGTCCCCCATTTGCACTGCAGTTCCCCCCCCCCCCCAGCTCTGCCCCTTTACTCTCCTACCTTACTCGGGTACTCAGAGTGCCTGAGGGCAGTATATCTCTGGGATAAATTGGAACACCGCATGAGGCAGGTCTTCTCATCTTCATCAGTACCTGACCTCACTAACAAGCTTTGGGGTGAACGGGCACAACTGCCAACAAACTCCAAAATCTTGTGGAAATCTTTCCCAGAAGAGTGGAAGCTGTTCTAGATGTAAAGGGAGGACCATCGCTATAATAATGGGCCATGGCTTTTGAATAGGATGTCTAAGCTCATAGATGTGATTAGGTCAGGGTTGGGTCGGGTTGGGTCACGTGTCCACCAAACTTTGGGTATTGCCTATGGTCAGCATCCAAATCATCTTCTGCTTCTCTGAACCCAACTGTAGCTGAGCAGAGTGTAGACTACCACTGCTGCAAACGCATGTTTCTTTGCCGTGTCTGCCTACCATACTTTGATGTACTGACCCGGAATGAGCATACAGATCAGGAAAGAAAAAAGCATTACACTTCTAGATTGTAAGCTCGAAAGAGCAGGGCCCTCGATCCCCTCGTGTATTGTATTGTATTGGTATTGTTCTGTCACATGTTCTGTCCCCCTTTGTAATGTACAGCACTGAGCGAACTATTGGCGCTTTATAAATACTGTATAATAATAATAATAATTACAGACTTCTGAGGCCACAGGACCAGGAACTAGTATTTGCAGAAGGGTTCTCTGGTTTCCCATGACCGGTTGTCTAGTTGCTCATTTCCAGAAGTAGCCAGTTCACGCTTTGCTCCATCACACCCACCTGTACATGCCGACCACCACTGCGTGGTCCCTCTCGTAGGGCTCCAGTGTCAGCTGCTCCTGGGGCTTCATGTTCTCCTGCTGCATCTTCTTCACTTCTGATGCAAAGACAGCCTCTGGAGCCGCCGTCGAGTCGATGCAATTTGCCTGAGAAAAAAAAGATGGAGGCTTATTGCTTTTGTGATCAAATGAAAAGCGGATGCGGGTTCAGTAACACTTTAATCTATAAAAATAGTTTTGGATTTACATAAAAACTTTAAAGCCCAATTCCGGGCAGGAAATAATTATCCCATGCAGTGGGGCTGTGCGCACTACAAAGTTTAAGAAGCTGGTTTTGTCTACAGGAGAGGTGAAACAATTTTATGTACTTGATTCTCTGCTGACAGGCAGCACTCCCCCAACTACTACTGCACCCCCCCCATGTAATTAAGTGCCAAGACTCTAGACCACGGGGGTGCAGAAGCTGCGGGGGGACCATTCTAGCTGCAGAGAGAAGCAGAAGATTGGGTCAAGTATGATTCTATGTACTGTTCCCCTAGATCAGTGGATTGCTTGCCTTTATCTAGCCTTTGGGGCACAATTCCTCCCATTGACACAATGGGGCATCATTCCTTCTACCAACACCAATGAAGGGGCACTATTCCTCCCACCGACACCAATGATGGGGCACTATTCCTTCTACTAACACCAATGAAGGGACACTATTCCTTCTACTAAACCACCAATGAAGGGACACTATTCCTCCCACCGACACCAATGAAGGGACACTATTCCTTCTACTGACACCAATGAAGGGACACTATTCCTCCCACCGACACCAATGAAGGGACACTATTCCTCCCACCGACACCAACGATCGGGACACTATTCCTCCCACCGATACCAACGATGGGACACTATTCCTCCCACCGACACCAACGATCGGGGCACTATTCCTCCCACCGGCACCAATGAAGGGACACTATTCCTCCCACCGGCACCAATGAAGGGACACTATTCCTCCCACCGATACCAACGATGGGACACTATTCCTCCCACCGATAGGGGCACTATTCCTCCCACCGGCACCAACGATCGGGGCACTATTCCTCCCACCGGCACCAACGATCGGGGCACTATTCCTCCCACCGGCACCAACGATCGGGGCACTATTCCTCCCACCGGCACCAACGATCGGGGCACTATTCCTCCCACCGACACCAACGATCGAGGCACTATTCCTCCCACCGACACCAACGATCGGGGCACTATTCCTCCCACCGACACCAACGATCGGGGCACTATTCCTCCCACCGACACCAACGATCGGGGCACTATTCCTCCCACCGACACCAACGATCGGGGCACTATTCCTCCCACCGACACCAACGATCGGGGCACTATTCCTCCCACCGACACCAACGATCGGGCACTATTCCTCCCACCGACACCAACGATCGGGGCACTATTCCTCCCACCGACACCAACGATGGGGCACTATTCCTCCCACCGACACCAACGATGGGGCACTATTCCTCCCACCGACACCAACGATGGGGCACTATTCCTCCCACCGACACCAACGATGGGGCACTATTCCTCCCACCGACACCAACGATGGGGAACTATTGCCCCCACCGACACCAACGATGGGGCACTATTCCTCCCACCGACACCAACGATGGGGCACTATTCCTCCCACCGACACCAACGATGGGGCACTATTGCCCCCACCGACACCAACGATGGGGCACTATTGCCCCCACCGACACCAACGATGGGGCACGATCCCCCCCCACCGACACCGATGAGGCACTATTCCCCCCCCACCGACACCCATGAGGCAATATTCTCCCACCGACGAGGCACTATTCCCCCCCACTGACACCAATGGGGCACTATTCCCCCCCACTGACACCAATGGGGCACTATTCCCCCCCACTGACACCAATGGGGCACTATTCCCCCCCACTGACACCAATGGGGCACTATTCCCCCCCACTGACACCAATGGGGCACTATTCCCCCCCACTGACACCAATGGGGCACTATTCCCCCCCACTGACACCAATGGGGCACTAAACTGGCCCTTTGTTGAGAAAGTTTGGAGACCCCCGGCGTAGATGACCAATGAACATGGTGCTGTGCCCGCAATGCAAGGGATGAGCCTTTATTTGCCCATACTTGGCTTTAGCCCTTTCACTGCCAAAGATGCATCTAAATTTCGGCTGTAGAGTTCTTTTCACTGAGATAAAGTACAATTTCTCTGTGATAAGATCTTCTGGAAAATGTAGCCCTCAGTAGACATATTGCAGCCCCCATTGTTGCATTGACCTGGACACGCCTGCTCTAGAATTACCGCATAATGAAGTCCAACATCAAGTCTTACTGCAAACAGTACGGTGCTTTTCCCTCCCCCCTTTTACCAACCTTTATAGAGATATGACAAAATGGCCGCCATTCTTCAGGAAATTGTGGGCGTTTATGGCGACAATTCTGGTCTGATCTGGCTGCGCTACATCAGCAAATATGACATCGACCATTCCTGCAAAGACGACAGTTCGAGATTCAATCACAGAGAGAGACTACAATTGTGAACAGGTTCAAGACCTGACCGACATAGCAATGCATTTCATGGCGTCACCGTTACCTAGCAACATGCGGTATTTGTGGGGGTGTCTGGCGTCCTCAATTATAGGGATGATGTTTGTGCGCTTTTTGGCTACGTTGATTAGATCGCGGCCCGATCGGTGAGAGAACTCCACAGCATAGACCAAGCCTTCCTGCCAAAGGGAACATTGACACACAGTTGAGTGAGAGAGCGGCCATCTTGAACTAGAACATACACAGATTGTTGGAGGAATGCAGATTCCTAAAAACCCTGGAAATCTGAATACTTACAGGGCCGACCAGGTCAGAAACGTGGGATACCGTTGTCCCGGAAGCAGCGCCCAGATATAAGACTTTAGAACCGGGCTTCATGTGGATCTGATCCACGCCACCCAAGATGGCAGCTGCCAGCTTCGATCTGAATGGATTCCAGGCTCTGTACTCAATCTTTGTTTCTCCGTCCTGCAGAGTTTACAAGAAAAAGGAGGAAATCCTTAAAATGAAACTGAAATTGCGCATGCTCAGTAGAGGACATCAGCTGTTCTACAGGCTGAAATGAGGACACAGAGAAGATGGGAGGGACAGCTGAAGGCAGGATCAACCAGGTATATTTCACCATCCTTTGTTTACAAGATCAGGTCAGCCAGTCATTTCCATCACTTTCCTTACTTGTACTACATTAAGTGTGCATGCCTAAAACTAGCATATCAATCCTAATGGGTTACGTAAGAAGAGGGGGAGGGGAGTATCATTTACCACTGTGGATACACCCAGATGTGTCTCTATAGTCATGTGGGCTGCACAGATAAGAAAAAGGAGGAAATCTTAAAAGGAAACTGAACTGAAATTGCGCATGCTCAGTAGAGGACATCAGCTGTTCTACAGGCTGAAATGGGGACACAGAGAAGATGGGAGGGACAGCTAAAGGCAGGATCAACCAGGTATATTTCACTCTATACAAAACAAAACCTTTAGAGGCTTTGAGCATGCACACTGTTATACAGCATGTAATGAGAGTTTTTCATAATCTGGGTTTAATGACACTTTAAACTTTGACAATAAAACCTGGAAGCCGATTGGTTTCTATGCAGAGCTGCACCAGATTTTGCACCATGTAGTTTTAGTAAATCAGCCCCACCCGTATCAGTTCTGTCATCTGCACGAACTTCCCAGTTAAATCAGATGGAGTGCAAAAAATAAAAAAAAAAGCCCTAAAGAAGCCAATTTCTTCATTTCAACGTTCCATGTACCCCAGGGTCTAAGGTACATGTAGTATTTCATCCCATCTGTCTATGTGCCGTGGAAGACTAGCTATGTGGCCAGACAAGACGAACCCCTTCCCCCACAGACAAAGCAGCTAGCAGGGGGCAGTCACATTGATAGCCGGCACCCACCAGAAAAAGGAATACAGGGGGCTCTCAGGAAAGCGCTGGAAGCCGGAGAAGAGAGCTGGTCATCAGTGTAGCTGCCATTTTGCCAGCTGCATTGTCGGAGGAGGTGTCCTGTCTGGCCATGTAGCCTTCCACAGTATGTAGGTAATTGGAACAAAGTATTACATGTGCTTTGTCCTCCAGGGGACAGGACACCAATGGATAGAAAAATGAAACTTCTTTGGCTCCCGCCTGGCCAACAGCAGATTAAGGGCCGGGTGGGCCTTTCGTCCCATATGACGCACCCTGGGGGGGGGGGGGGTGAGCAACGTGGCGAGGCGTGTTCCTCGGACACAGCGCATTGACGAATAGGCTAAAGATCCAATGGCGTTGGCTCTTTTCCATGTGATCAGTTGTGTCCAATCACAGCTGATCATGTAAACAAATTCCAGTTATTGGCATTTCCGGGTAGGGGGAGCACAAGCCCAGCTTTTCGCAGCCTTGGCTGTCAATCGCCGGCACCTGGTGATTGCTGAGCATTACCCTCCGTCAGCTATGCTCCGCAATCACCGGGTGCAGGGCGATTGACAGCAAAGGCTGCGAAAAGCTGTGCCTGTGCTCCCCCTACCCGGAAATGCCAATAACTGGAAAGGAAATGGCAATAACTGGAATTGTAAACAATACAGCTCTCTCCCCTGTCAGATCCTGCACACTGTTCTGCATGGCTCTGCATAGCCGTCATTTGGCTATAGCATGGTTGCCAAGTGGTTAATAGCAAAAAGTTAAAAATATTGTTTCTCGAAATTGTCTATTTTTTTTTTTTATTTAGTGCAAAAAATAAAAACTGCACAGACGATCAAATACCACCGAAAGAAAGCTCAATTCGTGGGGGAAGGGGGGACAAATTTTATTTGGGTGCAGCATTGCATGACTGCGCAATTGTCAGTTAAAAGTAATGCACTGGTCAGGATGGGGGGTAAATCCTCTGGAGGGCAAGTGGTTAAATACCACCAAAAGAAAGCTCTATCTGCCTCAAAAAATAATAAAAATGTTATTTGGGTGCAGCATTGCATGACCGCACAATTGTCAGTTAAAGTAATGCAGTGCCGTAATGCACTGGACAAGAAGGGGGGTAAAGCCTCTGGAGGGCAAGTGGCTAAGTACCACCAAAAGAAAGCTCTGTCTGCCTCAAGAAATGATAAAAATTTAATTTGCGTACAGTGTTGCATGACCACGCAATTGTCAAAGTGCAACAACGCTGAGAGCTGGCCTGGGCAGGAGGGGGGGGGGGGGGTGAAAGTCCCCGTTACTGAAAGGGTTAAATAAATTTGAACAATGCCCCTAATGTTCAAAAACGATTTTTTCCCCTCATATATGGCAGCCATGTTAAATCAAGCTGCTTCATTTCTACCCACCTCCACAGACATCCTCTTCTCCCCGTAGACCGATTCACCGGGAACGAGATTCTTTGTCACCAGAGCGTCCTCCTTCCCTCTGCAGATGAACACTCCTGCAACACAAAAAGTAGCATCATCATCGGCAGCCATAACTCGAGCCATCAGGAAGATGACCCGCACTTATACTGGACGGACTCCAGCTGATCATGGAGGACATTTACCTTCATGTCTATGTGGTTCCACCACTACCTTCCTTCCTGCTCCGAAACCGCCGAATCCGCCTCTTCCTCCCCCGCGACCTCCTCCACGAGGTCCGCCTCTTCCTGGAAAATTAAAACCACCAGCATTGTGATAACAGAACATTGTGGGCACTGTAAGTACATGAAAGGGCAGAGGAGCCCGAGGAGACTCAACCGGGCACCACATACAGTCCGACAACGCGCCCCAACGCCATTCTCCTAGATGGATTCTTCAGAAGGTTCACAAGTCTTCACCAACCGCTTCCATCATAGGTTTTATATGTAATATGAGGGCCTACCTAAACCATCTAATCCAGGGGTGCTCAACCTGTGGCCCCTCAGAACCCTCTGATGTGGCCCTCAACCTCAAAGCTAGATATAATAGAAGTCTATGGCAAAGCACACCCAACCTGCCGGAAAGTGGTGGTGCAGGTAAACTTGTAGCCTTGTAGAAGCCCATAGATGAGACGTGTTTCTCTGTACTGATGGCTACTAACGGAACATGTGTTGCAGACGAGAGGGGGGGATTGTTGGCCACCCCCAGGTTGTGTTCTAATCTTTTGCTTGTACCTACTCCTGCAGGTGGCACAACACCCTAAGGCCTCGTCCCAAAGACCCGGCTGTTTCCTTCAAAGAGCAAAAGAGAAAAGCGCCATTTTAGTACAATTCCTTCTTTTCGGTGCCTTACCTCTACCTCCTCTGCCGCCACGGTCACCAAATCCTCCTCTGCCGCCACGGTCACCAAATCCTCCTCTGCCGCCACGGTCACCAAATCCTCCTCTGCCGCCGCGGTCACCAAACCCTCCTCTGCCACGTCCTCCAAAACCACCACGGCCTCCGCGGTCGCCAAATCCTCTGCCGCCACCTCTAGGACTGAATCCTGAAAAATGAGAAAAGAAAGTGAGACTTCTGGCCAAACTCAAGTGCCGAGACCACCGCAGGATTCATCTCGTCCTGCAATGGAGGCAAAGACACATCACCGGCAGCCCGATATCAATCTGCAGGGAACCAGCACAGTGAGATTTCGGCTCTAGATCCGGCACTAGGACTTCTCTCAATAAAAAGAACAAAAACAATTTCCTACGCTCTGGCAAAAACGGATCATAGATCTTTGGCTGTTCCAATACCGGCACAGGCTTTGCTGCCCCCTAAGGGCTGGGAGGGGGAATAGTGGAAAACAAGGCACAAAGGGCGCCCCAGCCTTGTGCATTACCTTTGTGGTAGCTTTACTGTATTAAGATATATATATATATATACACTGCCAAACTTCATTAATAAAAGGTGCATCACCTGGTCACCTAGGCAAGTTCCAAATGCAGGAAGAACCTCCAAGAGGCTGACATGTTTCGAGTCCTAGGAGCTTCCGTGGTATTATGTGATGACCCATTATTATACAAGTCAGGGCCTGACAAATTTGCTTTGAATCTACAAGCCAGCTAAAAAAAAAAAAAAGTGAGGAGCCGGGTTTTTTTTTCAGCGCAGTGTGGGTTGTCATTGCCTGGGGCAAGGCAACTCTTGGGAGACGAGCTTCACACGACGTGATTTTCAGTGCGACAATCACAGCAAAACCGTATGTTTTGGACGCCATTGAAAATCATGGCACCTGAACCCCTGCATTGTGCCATCACATCAATCGCAAAATGCCCGAGTGTGGTGAATGGAGCCGCCCTGGTCCACACATCGTATGATACGTTTCTGTACAGAAGTCTATGGAGGGGTGGGGGGGCCTTCGCGCACTGACGTCTGGCTGGGGGGGGGGTGGGGGGGCCTTCGCGCACTGACGTCTGCGGGGGGGGGTGGGGGGGCCTTCACGCACTGACGTCTGCGGGGGGGCCTTCACGCACTGACGTCTGCGGGGGGCCCTTCACGCACTGACGCCTGCGGGGGGGCCTTCACGCACTGACGCCTGCGGGGGGGCCTTCACGCACCGACGCCTGCGGGGGGGCCTTCACGCACCGACGCCTGCGGGGGGGCCTTCACGCACCGACGCCTGCGGGGGGGCCTTCACGCACCGACGCCTGCGGGGGGGCCTTCACGCACCGACGCCTGCGGGGGGGCCTTCACGCACTGACGCCTGCGGGGGGGGGCCTTCACGCACTGACGCCTGCGGGGGGGCCTTCACGCACTGACGCCTGCGGGGGGGGGGTGGGGGCCTTCACGCACTGGCGTCTACAGGGGGGGTGGGGGGGGGGGGCCTTCACGCACTGGCGTCTACAGGGGGGTGGGGGGGCCTTTACGCACTGGCGTCTACAGGGGGGTGGGGGGGCCTTTCCGCACTGGCGTCTACAGGGGGGTGGGGGGGCCTTTCCGCACTGGCGTCTACAGGAGGGGGCCTTCCCGCACTGAATACAGGACATGATTTTGCATTGAAGTCAATGGAAGGCAGTGTGTGAACCCAGGTACCAGAACGTAATATCATGGCGACCTGGTGCCAGGGATTTGTGGAGCCGTGATATAAGGACTTCCAACATCCAGAATTGGATCCAGCACAGCTGGAAGGAAAGAAAATTGCTCGATTCCCCCATCAACACAGTCAATGTTGATGGGGGGTAATGCCTCCCGTGGAGCTATTGTATTCTGGTGGTACAACGATCACTACTGGCTGCTACAGCCACCGGCAATGCTGACATGCAAAAAATCCAACGGGCTGGTTTTAGTGAAGTCGACTGACGGAGCGACTTCAGTACAACCAGCCTGCTCATTGATAGATCGAATCTCGGCTGAATCAGCCAAGATTTGATCCACCCGTGGCTGGCTTAAGGGCTCGTTCACACTTTCCGCACACAAACATTGCCTGCATCAGCCCGTGTCTGTTCTGGCCGGCTTTGGGAGGCGGTGCCTTGTGTAAAGGGTAACTCCACTTTTGTGAGGAAAAAAATTAGCAAATACAAAAAATAATCCAGTGTATAGAATTGTGACAAGTCATATTGTATTTGAATGTTATAAAAATGAACTTTCCTTTTCAATCTGCAGGGCTGTAATCTTCTATAAAATACAATATGGCCACCTGGAGGTGATCTGTATACAGAAAAAAATCCCAGTATTTGTACCGCCAATTCATTTACATGTATTGGGATTTTTTTTTTTTAGCAAAGACACGGAGCAGAGTACATTTTGGCCGAAATTTATGACGAAATTTGATTTTGTAAATTTTTTTTACTGGACGCGTTTTATAGCAAAAAGTCAAAAATATTGTCAGTCCGTTTCTTTTTCTTATAGAGCAAAAAAAAATTAAACCGCAGAGGTGATCAAAGACCACCAAAAGAAAGCTCATTGATTTGGGTGTAGCGTTGCATGACCGCGCAATTGTCAGTTAAAGTAACGCATTGCTGTAACGCAAAAAATGATCTGGTCGGGGGGGGGGGGATCCTCTGGAGGGCGAGGGGTTAAAGTTCTGCTTTTCTGCGGTCAGATCTCATCAGCCGGATATGGCGGCGGACCTGCGTTCATTCTGCGCTTAGATCTCATCAGCCAGACATGGCGGCGGACCTGCGTTCGTTCTGCGCTTAGATCTCATCAGCCGGACATGGCGGTGGACCTGCGTTCGTTCTGCGCTTAGATCTCATCAGCCGGACATAGCGGTTGACCTGCGTTCATATCTCATCAGCCGGACATGGCGACAAATCTGCGTTCGTTCTGCGCTTAGATCTCATCAGCCGGACATGGCGGCGGACCTGCGTTCGTTCTGCGCTTAGATCTCATCAGCCGGACATGGCGGTGGACCTGCGTTCGTTCTGCGCTTAGATCTCATCAGCCAGACATGGCGGCGGACCTGCGTTCGCTCTGCGGTCAGATCTCATCAGCCAGACACGGCGGCGGACCTGCGTTCGCTCTGCGGTCAGATCTCATCAGCCAGACACGGCGGCGGACCTGCGTTCGCTCTGCGGTCAGATCTCATCAGCCAGACACGGCGGCGGACCTGCGTTCGCTCTGCAGTCAGATCTCATCAGCCAGACACGGCGGCGGACCTGCGTTCGCTCTGCGGTCAGATCTCATCAGCCAGACACGGCGGCGGACCTGCGTTCGTTCTGCGCTTAGATCTCATCAGCCAGACACGGCGGCGGACCTGCGTTCGCTCTGCGGTCAGATCTCATCAGCCAGACACGGCGGCGGACCTGCGTTCGCTCTGCGGTCAGATCTCATCAGCCAGACACGGCGGCGGACCTGCGTTCGCTCTGCGGTCAGATCTCATCAGCCAGACACGGCGGCGGACCTGCGTTCGCTCTGCGGTCAGATCTCATCAGCCAGACATGGCGGCGGACCCACACTCGGATCTCATCAGCCGGACATGCGTGTTTATACATCGATATCTGGGATCAACTTCTGGCGGAGGAGGGACTAGGACCCCCCAACCAGGGATCATCTGATGAGGCTGTACCCCACACACAATCTCACAGTTACAGGAGGACGAATGGGAAAACCAAACAATCAAACTATACCAGGAATAAAGGGCTGTCTATGGTACAGAGAACCAGCTCCCTAATCCCAGGACATATCGGGAGTCCCCGTGGCTGGGGAGGGAAGCAGAAGGCGGCCCGGATCCCTTCCATGCTCCGGAACACAGCTGCGAACGCTCCCGCCGCACAGGCCTCACATCCCCGGCCTCTCCTGTCCCCACAACCGGCCCTCCCCTCACTGCTCTCCCGGCTGCACCGCGTGCTCTCACCTGGCCTCATGTCTGCGACTCTCCCAGCGTGCACCAACTCAGCACGTGTCCGCTCCACTCAGGACTCAACAACTCCCGGCAGCCTCCACGCAAAAAGGAAGGGGTAGGTCTGCACAGGCGCGTCAGAAGGTCAAAGGACGGAAGTGGGTGGGAGCCATTTTTGTTGTGGGCAAGTCGCAAATAAGTGGAAACAGGAAATGCAGATTTTTGGTGTATTTTTTTTTCTCAGGCGCATGCCGGGTAATAGGCACCCAGAAACGCATGGAATATGTGGCTTTACTGTATTTTGGCAACAGAGCAGTGTGAGAGCTCCTTTACCCTCCATTCACACTTGTGCATTTTCCGTTGCGTTTTGCAGAAACGCACAGCACTCCATTTAACATGATTTCCTATAGGACACGTTCACCTCTCCGCATTTTCACCCGGTGCATTTTTTTTTTTTGGAAAGGGTCTGACTTTTTCTTAAACGCACAACGTTGCATTTTGGGTTCTATAGACTTTGATGGAAATGCTGCAGCAAAGCATGTAGTGCGTTTTTGCTGCATTTTAATCTCCCTAGCAACAAGAGAATTAAAAAAAAAAAAAAACGTGTGCAAAAACACCAATCGGATCAAACGCAAACTAACCTGAGATGTGGTGGCTGCATTCATTTTCTTTTTTAGCCCCTCCCCCCTTTATTTCCACCTGATCCTGCCAGTAATACACTTCCTGTCTTAGGGTGACAACACTCTCTGCACTGTATCTATGAAGGAACAGTGTTGTCACCCTAACCTGGTTTCCTGATATGAATTGCAAACACCTCCCCCTCTTCTTATCCAACAGGAGGGATGAGGTTTTATCTGGGAAGGGTACTGAACTTCTGGCAGGATCAAATTTTTTTTTTTTCTGTGCTTGCAGGAACTGTTCTTAGCCTGAAAAAAGGAAAACTAAGGCAGCCACCACTTCTAAGGACGGCTAAGCTGTATATGTGACATTGTTGTTCTTGGGTTTCCTGATACACAAGCAGAAGAAGGTCACCTGACACTTTGGGGGAGATTTACCCTCAGTTCACACCTAAGCGTTTTCCGCAGCGTTTTGCAGAAACGCACAGCAGTCCATGTAACATGATTTCCTATGGGACAGGTTCCCATCTCCGCGTTTTCACCCGGTGCGTTTTTTTTTTTTTTAGAAAGGGTCGGGGACTTTTTCGAATGCAAAAAGTTGCGTTTTTGGTTCTATAGACTTCAAAAGAAACGCTGCAGAAAAGCATGTAGTGCGTCTTTGCCGCGTTTCTCATTTTAAATCTGCCTAGCAACAAACAAAAAAAAAAAACGCAAAACACATAAACGCAGCAAAAATGCAGAGCTCACCGCAGAAACGGATAAAACGCAAACTACATAGGTGTGAACCGAGCTTTACGAAAACTTCCGCACCCAGCCTGGGGCAGCTCTGCACGGGAGCCAATCAGCTTCCAACCTCAGCTTGCTCAACTAAGCTCTGACAAAAACAAAACCTGGAAGCTGATTGGCTGCCACGCACAGCTGCACCACATTTTGCACTCTCCAGTTTTAGTAAATCTCCCCATTTGTTCCTACACAAAAATAATACATTTTAATAAACATTTTCATTGCTTCATATGGGCACATTGATTGTTTTAGCCTTTAACCCTTTCCTGCCCAGCATACCTTTAGCAGGATCCTTACACCACAGGGGGGAAATCACATGGCCATTATGATTGGCTGTCACATAGCCATTGTGATTGGCTGTCACATGACCAGGCGCTGGCCTCCATCTTTTGACAGCTCAGTCACTGTGCTGGGAGCATAGATGCATGTCTTTAGGGGTTAAAGCCCACCCACTTTGCTGCCCCCACATACCTGTTACAGGGGCAGCAAGCGGTTAAAGCAGAGGAGCCAGTCCAGTGAGCAGTAGACGTGCATTCAGCACCATCCCTGAACACCGGTACAGCAATCAGCCCTGTCCAGCCACAGCCTTCCCATAGTCTGCCTTCAGCAGGGCTGGACGCCGCACCAGTCCCTCGCCAGGGGAGGAGCCCTGCAGCTGGACAGCCCATGTGTGCTTAGTGGTGGCTGCATTAGTTTTTTCCTTAATTTACCTTCAACTGATGATACTGCTAGTTCATGTGTTAGGGTGACAACGCTCTCCATACTTTACCATACAGGAGCAGCGTTGTCACCCTAGAACAGAAAGTGTGTCCATAAATATATTTATGCCATGAATTAATAAGTGTGAAGGTAGATCAGTAATATGGAATGGGCTTCGCCAGCACACCCCGACCTGCCAAAAATCAGATGCAACTTTATTTACTACAACACAGGTGCATTGCCTTAGTGCAGGGGTGTCAAACTGGCGGCCCTCCAGCTGTTGCAAAACTACAAGTCCCATCATGCCTCTGCCTTTGGGAGTCATGCTTGTAACTGTCCATCTTGCAATGCCTCATGGGATTTGTAGTTTCCCATCATGCCTCTGCCTTTGGGAGTCACGCTTGCAACTGTCCATCTTGCAATGCCTCATGGGACTTGTAGTTTCCCATCATGCCTCTGCCTTTGGGAGTCACGCTTGTAACTGTCCATTTTGCAATGCCTCATGGGACTTGTAGTTTCCCATCATGCCTCTGCCTTTGGGAGTCACGCTTGTAACTGTCCATTTTGCAATGCCTCATGGGACTTGTAGTTTCCCATCATGCCTCTGCCTTTGGGAGTCAAGCTTGCAACTGTCCATCTTGCAATGCCTCATGGGACTTGTAGTTTCCCATCATGCCTCTGCCTTTGGGAGTCACGCTTGTAACTGTCCATTTTGCAATGCCTCATGGGATTTGTAGTTTCCCATCATGCCGCTGCCTTTGGGAGTCATGCTTGTAACTGTCCATCTTGCAATGCCTCATGAGACTTGTAGTTTGGCAACAGCTGGAGGGCCGCCAGTTTGACACCCGTGGATTACACGCGATTTTTAACCAAGATTCAGGCTATTTCTGTGAAGAGCGTTCTTTAACTCCTTCACGCCGGCCGCACACAAATGTCCGGCGTCTGGGCCTAGATGCATGTGCTGAGAGCATGCGCCCTGCGTGCTCCCAGCACACATGTGCGGTACTCACGGAAAGGTCCCAGTCCACTCTTTCGCTCGGGACCTTTCCCGATCATGTGACTGCCGTGACGACGCGTCACATGATCCCTAAACCACACACCATCTCCCAGCGCCTGAAACTCTTAATGGGCCAGGAGGCGCCGGCGGGAAGGGGTTAAACTGAATTGCAGGAATTCAGTAACTTTGCAAACAGCGATGCCTCATGGGACTTGTAGTTTGGCAACAGCTGGAGGGCTGCCAGTTTGACCCCCTTGCCTTAGTGTGTTGGGGTGCTATAAATACCACAGGACATTGAACGTGCTTTGCTGCAACACGGAAGTGTAAATGGGCCCTTAATGTTGGACTAAAGACCACCTCCCTCACTAAAAAAAAAAAAGAAAAGAAAGGGGAAGGTGTTCTGTAGTCCAAACAAAAGAATGGCCACGGTTGATTACACTGTTTGGGATTTCAGCGCAGCAGAGTACTCAGCAACTGTTGTCACTCTGCTCTGCACATGCTCATTTGCTCTTATTTTTACACACTGTCAAACATGTAGAGGCCGGCCTGATGAAAGCCTAAAGATTTAATGCTGCTTAGGGGCTCTGGGCTTCAACAAAATGAAAGAAGAAACTGGAGCAATGCTGGAGACAATTCACACAACACAATGATCCTTGCTAAAGTACATTTATCGAGTTGTTCTGGGTAAAGTTCAGCTTTAATGAAATAGTCGGAATCTAAAGTATAAAAGTACATACACCCAGCTGGGGATGGGATGATGGAATGGGAACACCCCCCCCCCCCCCATAAAGAAAAAAAAAAAACCTTTGCCATTAAACTCTCCCTCTAGTGCATAGGTAGCAAAATAAAAACAGGAGACACCGGTTGTCACTTGTACAAATGTCTGTATTTTACAGTACTGAGCACAGAGCTCCTGCGCTGGGCGGATATCTACAAGGCCGAGCAGAAAGAACAGAACGATTGGAAGCAGCCGTCATTATAAAACAGACTCCGATTTAATTGGTTTAATTGTATTAAGAACAACTAAAACATTACCAAGACAGACAGAGCCGGTGAAATTCAATCAAGTCTGATCAGATTAAATAGAGGGAATGGTACGGCATTCCTGGACAGGGAGAATCGCGCTCCAGCGACTGGCGGCTTCTGGAGATGAAAGGGCGGCTCAGAAGTCGGGTCCTTCCTTCTTCAGTTTCTTGTAGTCAATCGTCTCGTTATAAAACTGCAGAAGAGAAAACGGGAGGTCACAATACAGAACATACAGAACATCCAGAAATGAAAATGAGAACATCCAAAATGAGAACATCCAGAAATGAGAAATCCATCCAGAAAATGAGAACATCCAGAAATGAGAACATCCAGAAAATGAGAACATCCAGAAAATGAGAACATCCAGAAATGAGAAATCCAGAAAATGAGAACATCCAGAAAATGAGAACATCCAGAAAATGAGAACATCCAGAAAATGAGAACATCCAGAAAATGAGAACATCCAGAAATGAGAACATCCAGAAAATGAGAACATCCAGAAATGAGAACATCCAGAAAATGAGAACATCCAGAAATGAGAACTTCCCATCCTGAAGGTCCAGCGCAGCCCCGCCTCCTACACAGCTACCTGGTTGTGTAGAACAGTTTGCCTGTAGTGACAGCTGCTGGTGACAACTGGTACTGCAACGTGACCAGATTCGGCGATTCTGTAGTAGAGCTATGCACTGCACAGGACGGCATGCATTCCAATTCAGGGAAGGACTTCTAACTTCCAGAACACGGACTCGTCAAGAACTGAAGCCAGGGATCAGTATAACAACCAGGCAGCTCTTCTTTCCAGAAGACAGTAAGCAATGTCCGCTGTCAATGAGCTGCACTTTCCCCCAGCTAAAAGAAGTTTGTTTCTTTTAACTTCAGAAATAAACTAAAGTATCCTTTTAGTTTATTTCTGGAGTTAAAAGAAACAATGTTTCCCTTTAGTTTACTTCTTGAGTTAAAAGAAACAAAGTTTCCTTTAGCTCCTGCAAAAATGACAGCTAATTCTCTGAGGTATAATAATGACAGAGTGCAGCGCTGAGAAATAAGTGCAAAAAGCAAATAGTCCGTGGTTGTTAACTGAATATAAATATATAGTCCCAAGAAATAGCTGATGAAGACCAGGAAGCAATGGAAAGAGTGCGCACTCACCGGACGCGCATGGAAAATGCGCATAAATGAATAGCTCCTGGAATCCTAGAGTAGATGGAGAGGGTGAACTCCAATCTGTGGATCAATCAGCCTGGGAAGATGTATCAGAGATCCTGGAGGTCCCCTTAAGGTTGGTATGATTATCAGCCAGACTCCAAAAGCTCCGTCCCTCTGGTGGAGGGGATACCAACGAAGGTTGGTATCCCCTCTGATGATGTGCTTGGGCACGAAAGGCCTTAGGAGGAACCGACAGAGCATGACGTCATCTTCTGCCCGGAGCCACGAGACAGCCCCGCGGCCATTTTAATTTAGGGTCAGTACCATTGCTGCGTACTCTGCTTTTATATATGTACTGTACACAGCCTTACTACCCTGCTTGTCATTTTAGTTTTACCCAATAAATCTATTTTAAAATACTACACTATGGGCACCTGTTTTTTGGTTCCCATTGGGAGCTAAATTCATTTGCAGGATCCCTGTAGTGCTTACCTATCACCACCAGAGGGACGGAGCTTTTGGAGTCTGGCTGATAATCATACCAACCTTAAGGGGACCTCCGGATCTCTGATACATCTTCCCAGGCTGATTGATCCACAGATTGGAGTTCACCCTCTCCATCTACTCTAGGATTCCAGGAGATATTCATTTATGCGCATTTTCCATGCGCGTCCGGTGAGTGCGCACTCTTTCCATTGCTTCCTGGTCTTCATCAGCTATTTCTTGGGACTATATATTTATATTCAGTTAACAACCACGGACTATTTGCTTTTTGCACTTATTTCTCAGCGCTGCACTCTGTCATTATTATCCTGCTTTTTATGGGTACACTGTGATTACCTTTAGTGCTAGCTGCTTGGTTAGGAGCGCTCACTTTATACCATTCTTATCCAATTCTCTGAGGTATAGCGAAGAAAAAAAAAAAAAAAAAAAAAGCCGGCAATTGCATTTAAAAACCAGCACTGACCTATAGTAACAGCCAGTGAGGGAGCCTCTCTGTATACACTGCTCCTCTCCTGCAGTCACTGCAAACCCCCCCCCCCCCCCCCCCACAAAGAGGACCTGTCACTCATATGCTATCACATAGAGGACTAATGGTCCCCAATGTGATAGCAATAAAATAACAAAATAAATAAACATACATAAAAGTAGAACAAAATACAAAAAAAATTTTTTTTTTTTTAAATTGGAGCCTCCCCACATATACATACTCCATGTGTTATGTGCTTCTGCACTGCAGGCAGACCATGGCTAGTGGGAGGGGCTGGTAGGATGCTGTGTACAAGGATCACCTTAGAGGAGACCTGTACTGAGAGGAGCATGGAAGCTGCTTGTTGATAGCGTCTCTGAAAATACTAATTGCCTGGCTCTAAAACCTGTATTCCCCAACCGCGAACAAGCAAGTTGGAGAAGTTAGCACACCTGTATACCTCTTTTAGATCATTGGTTGTATGTATTAAAAAAAAAAAAAAAAAAAAAGGAGTCAGTCTGACAGCCAATCTGCTTGCATTTTCAGAAAAGTCAACAATGTCCGCATCCCCCCCAACTCTCTGCAGCGCACTGCCCCAAATTCTCTGCAGCACCCTGTTCCTGGAAACATCACAGCACCCTGCCTCAGCACTCCTCGGTCCTCCATAAGAGCAGCAGTCTGGCTCTTGGGAGCGTTTGGCAATTATCAATATTCCTTGACAGGTGTATATCAGTCTGGAGGAGTTGGCTGTGCATGCCCAAGGTAACACCCGCATGTGATGCTGAGCCTCCATGATTAAAAAGCGAAATCCAATGAATGAAAGGGGTGAAGCCAGAGACAGTTAGGCTGGAGGGGAAGGAGTGAGATGATGCTGGATGTCCTCCAGCCAGGAAATGAGGTTGAGCTCTATCTGACTTGCTGCAGCTTCTAATGCACATTGAGAGAAGCTCACAGTGTGCACTAAGATCAGAAGAAGCCGCTTCAGTTTAGGAGAGGGGCCGGTACCCCTGTGCAAGACTGGAGGGGAGGGGCCGGTACCCCTGTGCAAGACTGGAGGGGAGGGGCCGGTACCCCTGTGCAAGACTGGAGGGGAGGGGCCGGTACCCCTAAGACAGGTGCAAGGGGAGGGGAGGGGCCGGTACCCCTGTGCAAGACTGGAGGGGAGGGGCCGGTACCCCTGTGCAAGACTGGAGGGGAGGGGCCGGTACCCCTGTGCAAGACTGGAGGGGAGGGGCCGGTACCCCTGTGCAAGACTGGAGGGGAGGGGCCGGTACCCCTGTGCAAAGACTGGAGGGGAGACCCCTGGCAAGACTGGAGGGGAGGGGCCGGTACCCCTGTGCAAGACTGGAGGGGAGGGGCCGGTACCCCTGTGCAAGACTGGAGGGGGAGGGGCCGGTACCCCTGTGCAAGACTGGAGGGGAGGGGCCGGTACCCCTGTGCAAGACTGGAGGGGAGGGGCCGGTACCCCTGTGCAAGACTCCGGTACCCCCAAGACTGGAGGGGGGACCAGAGTCCACCCAGAATGTCACATGTTGTGCACTATGACCTCACTCACCTTGTACTGGTAGTTGGGGCCCTGCTTGTTCCAGGGGGTCGGGTTGTTCTTCTTGTCCCAACTACAATATGAATTCAAAATGGTTATTACACAAAAACCCAACACAATGTGTGTATAAAAAGAAGAAGAACCCCCCCCCCCCCCCAAACACAACGTACCAAACTTCAGGGCTTCTCATCGTCACTCGCAGAGCGTACAGAACTGAAGCCGCGGCTCCGGTCCCCACAAACAAGAACAGAGGGATCAACTGAAAGCAGAAGAGACGAGGATGAGATCCAACATGGCGTTCAGGAAACGCACAACATGCCTCAACTCCAGGACTCCGCCCACTTCAGATTTCTAGCTCCTCCCTCCCCGCACAATATAAACACTGCAACATTTTCCAAATTCTTTGTCAATTTCTGGATTTTCTCCCCGCGATGTCATTAGGCTGCTGTCAAAATGGGGCGTCAGTCTACATGCCTAGCAAAACCTGTTCCTTGCCGTTTGGCTACCACACAGCTGTGCGAACGTCCTCCCGGGGAACCCCGGAAAAGGGGCCACGGGTCTACCTGAATCCCCGCCAGCTGTGCGGATGATCCCCAAGTCTTACTGTGTCCCCAGCAATGAACACGGGCCCCCGGATCTTTCTGGGTTCCTGGGAGTTGCAAGAAGCCCCATGGCACTGTTCCTGGATATCGGCAGAAGTGCCGCGGTCGGCTCCACCGGTACAGGAATGGAAGTGCCCAATACAGGGAGATATGAACTGGGTGAAGGGGAATGGAGGAGACAGCTGGGATCAGATCAGAATGCACAAGAGGTATGAAAATAGTTCTAGGAGATCCCATCCCCCGATTCTCCTGTGTACAAGAATGGAGGAGAAATCCAATGACACCTCTGAGTACACCCCGACTTTCGCAGGAGAACCGTGTCCCCGAAATGTATTACATTGCAGTATTCTGTCCTCTTAAGGCCCCCTAGACCACCCCTAGTCCTAGGACTCCCCCCCCGACCCGTGATCACATAATCCTAGGGTCCCCCCCAGACCCGTGCCCCCTAGTCCAAGGCATCCCCCCCCCCCAGACCTGTGCCCCCTAGTCCAAGGCATCCCCCCCCCCCGACCCGTGCCCCTAGTCCAAGGCATCCCCCCCCCAGACCTGTGCCCCCTAGTCCAAGGCATATGCCCTCTAGTCCAAGGCGCCCCCCCCCATACCCCCTAGTCCAAGGCATCCCCCCCCCGACCCCTAGTCCAAGGCGTCTCCCCCAGACCCGTGCCCCCTAGTCCACGGTATCCCCCCTAGTGCTAGGGCCCCCCCCCCAGACCCGTGCCCCCTAGTCCAAGGCACCCCCCCCCCGACCCGTGCCCCCCAAGGATCTCCCCCAGACCTGTGCCCCCTAGTCCACGGTATCCCCCCCCTAGTCCAAGCACCCCCCCCGCGTGCCCCCACAGTCCTAGGGTCTCCCCCAGACCCATGCCCCCTAGTCCAAGGCACCCCCCCCAGACCCATGCCCCCTAGTCCTTGCTAGCATCCTCTTAGTCCCAGCCCCAACGCCCCCCTCTATCAGTGTGAAGCCTCCGCTGGAAGCTGTCCCAGTAACACTCTGACCTCTGTGCGGCTCTCAGGTGACAAAAGAACCCGGAAGAAAAATCACCTGGAGAAGTCCTGGGGGGTGTATATGGGGGGGGGGGGGGGATATACCAGGGAAATGGGGGCCACACATCACATATATGGGCGGCGGGGGTCGCCAGCTGTGAATAATAAAATCCCCCTCCGGGATCACGTGCTGTAGGTGAGGTGACCCGGAATAGGGGTTCGAGAGGGGGCAGAGGAGTGACCTGCAATGAGACGTCAGGTGACCCGGGATGGGGTGTGTGGGTGTGTGACCCGGAATGGGGTGTGTGGGTGTCGGAGTGACCCGGAATGGGGTGTGTGGGTGTCGGGGTGACCCGGAATGGGGTGTGTGGGTGTCGGGTGACCCGGAATGGGGTGTGTGGGTGTCGGGAGTGACCGGAATGGGGGTGGGTGTCGGGGTGACCCGGAATGGGGTGTGTGGGTGTCGGGGTGACCCGGAATGGGGACACTCAACGGGAGGGGGTGTGTGGGTGTCGGGGTGACCCGGAATGGGGTGTGTGGGTGTCGCAGTGACCCGGAATGGGGTGACACTCACGCTGGGGTGTTTCTTGGCATGCTTGAGCATAGTCTGGAACATGATGGCGGCGGCCTTCTCCTCAGCGCTGCACTCAGATTCCTTCACTACCACACAATGTCACAGGAAAATGGCGAGGACGTCTAATACGTCACCCGAGGGGGCCTGGCCGGGGCTGACCGCTGAGCGCCTGAACGAGGCGAGACACACCGATGTATAGATCCTCCTGACAGGCTCGCCTTGGACCGACCCCGCCCCGCCTACATGACCTTCCTCTGACAGGCTCTCCGCTGGATAGACCACGCCCCATACATGTGACTCCCCCTGGCGGGCTTTCTGGGCAGAACCCGCCGCCTGCACGTGACTACCTCTGGCAGTCGCGCCTCTAGACAGGTGACGCATGCGCACTGACATCATAGGTTAAAATGGAGCTCCCAGCTCAGGCAGTCACGTGGTATCAGAACTTACTATGGCTAAATGGTGTGTAGGGGCTGACAGGTGCACTTTACAAATAATTCTGGAGGTGTGTCCAGCATTATAATGAGGGGGTAGGGTGCTGCAGAAAGTGTGGGGGTGTGTTCAGCATTATAATGAGGGGGCAGAACACCACAGACAGTATGGGGGTGTCCAACATTATAATGAGGAGGCAGGACACTGCAGACAGTATGGGGGTGTGTTCCAGTATTATAATGAGGGGGGCAGGGTGCTGCACAGTATGGGGGTGTGTCTAGAATTATAATGAGGAGGGAGGGTGCTGCAGACAGTATGGGGGTGTGTCCAGCATTATGAGGAGGCAGGGCGCTGCGCAGTATGAGGGTGTGTCCAGCATTATAATGAGGGGGTAGGGCGCTGAAGACAGTATGGGGGTGTGTCCAGCATTATAATAAGGGGGCAGGGCGCCACAGACAGTATGGGGGTGTGTGCAGCATTATAATAAGGGGGCAGGGCGCCGAAGACAGTATGGGGGTGTGTGCAGCATTATGAGGAGGCAGGGCGCTGAAGACAGTATGGGGGTGTGTCCAGCATTATAATGAGGGGGCAGGGTGCCAAGGACAGTATGGGGGGTGTGTCCAGCATTATAATGAGGGGACAGGGCTCCGCAGGCAGTATGGGGGTGTGTCGAGCATTATAATGAGGGGACAGGGCTCCGCAGGCAGTATGGGGGTGTGTCGAGCATTATAATGAGGGGACAGGGCTCCGCAGGCAGTATGGGGGTGTGTCCAGCATTATAATGAGGGGGCAGGGCGCCAAGGACAGTATGGGGGTGTGTGTCGAGCATTATAATGAGGGGACAGGGCTCCGCAGGCAGTATGGGGGTGTGTCGAGCATTATAATGAGGGGACAGGGCTCCGCAGGCAGTATGGGGGTGTGTCCAGCATTATAAGGGGGCAGGGCGCTGCAGACAGTATGAGGGCGTGTCCATCATTATAATGAGGGGGTAGGGCGCCGCCGACAGTATCAGGGTGTGTCCAGCATTGAGGGGGCAGGGTGCCACAGACAGGATCGGGGTGTGTCCAACAATATGAGGGGGCAGAACACCACAGACAGTATGGGGGGGTGTCCAGCATTATAATGAGGGAGCAGGGCACCACAGACAGTATGGTGGGGTGTTCAGTATTATGAGGGGCAGGGTGCTGCACAGTATAGGGGTGTGTCCAGCATTATAATGAGGAGGCAGATGTGGTACACAGATTAGTCCTGTCAATTTAAGAAGGGGCTTCCAACAACTTATGTATATAAAAGACACCAGTCCACAGAATCTTTGTTGGGCACCACCATGGGCCAGACCTAAGAGCTGTCAGAGACAAGATGGTAGACCTGCACAAGGCTGGAATGGCCTATAAGACCATCAGCAAGAAGCTTGGTGAGGAGACAACTGACGGGAGTTATTATTTGCAAATGGAGGAAATACAAAATATCCATCACTCACCCTTGGGCTGGAGCTCCATGCAAGATTTAGACCTCATGGGGTAAGGATGATCATGAGAAAAGTGAGGGATCAGCCCAGAACTACATGGGAGGAGCTTGTGAATGATCTCAAGGCAGTTGGAACAACAGTCACCAAACAAACCATTGGTAACACAATACGCCGCCATGGACTGAAATCCTCCTCAAGAAGGTACATGTACAGGCCCATCTGAACTCTGCCAATGAACATCTAAAGGATTCAGAGGATTGGGAGAAAGTTCTTTGGTCAGATGAGACCAAACTTGAGCTCTTTGGCACAATACTCGACTGGCCGTGTTTGAAGGAAGAAAAATGCTGACTATGACCCTAAGAACACCATCCCTACAGTCCAGCACGGAGGTGGAAACATTGTGCTTTGGAACGGTTTCTCTGCTAAAGGTACAGACCAACTTTGCCGCATTGAGAGGCCAAGTATTGTAAAATCTTGGATAAGAAGCTTCTTCCCTCAGCCAGAACACCAAAGATGGGTCTTCCAGCATAAAAATGATCCAAGGCAACAAAGAAGTGGCTCAAGAAGAAGCACATTAAGGTCATGGAGTGGCCTAGCCAGTCTCCAGCCCTTAATCCTAAAGAAAATTTATGGAGGGAGCTGAAACTTCGAGTTGCCAAGCGACAGCCAAGAAACCTTAAGGATTTAGAGAAGATCTGTAAAGAAGAGTGGAGGACCAAAATCCCTCCTGAGATGTGTGCAAACCTGGGAACCAACTACAAGAAACGTCTGACCTCTGTGCTTGCCAACAAGGGTTTCTCCACCAAGTACTAAGTCATGTTCTGCTCGAGGATCAAATACTTATTCTACTCACTGAACTGCGACTCAGTTTATAACATTCGCATCATGTTTGTTTCTGGATTTTTGGTTGATATTGTCTCTATCATTTAAAATATACTTATAATAAAAATTATGGACCCTTCATTTCTTTGTAAGTTGGCAAACTTACAAAATCTGAAGATCAAATCATTATTTTCTCCACTGTATATACAGTCAGGTCCATAAATATTGGGACATCGACACAATTCTAAAATTTTTGGCTCTATACACCACCACAATGGATTTGAAATGAAACGAACAAGATGTGCTTTAACTGCAGACTGTCAGCTTTAATTTGAGGGTATTTACATCCAAATTGGGTGAACGGTGTAGGAATTACAACAGTTTGCATATGTGCCTCCCACTTGTTAAGGGACCAAAAGTAATGGGACAATTTGCTTCTCAGCTGTTCCATGGCCAAGTGTGTGTTATTCCCTCATTATCCCAATTACAATGAGCAGATAAAAGGTCCAGAGTTCATTTCAAGTGTGCTATTTGCATTTGGAATCTGTTGCTGTCAACTCTCAAGATGAGATCCAAAGAGCTGTCACTATCAGTGAAGCCATCATTAGGCTCAAAAAACAAACCCATCAGAGAGATAGCAAAAACATTAGGCGTGGCCAAAACAACTGTTTGGAACATTCTTAAAAAGAAGGAACGCACCGGTGAGCTCAGCAACACCAAAAGACCCGGAAGACCACGGAAAACAACTGTGGCGTATGACCGAAGAATTCTTTCCCTGGTGAAGAAAACACCCTTCACAACAGTTGGCCAGATCAAGAACACTCTCCAGGAGGTAGGTGTATGTGTGTCAAAGTCACCAATCAAGAGAAGACTTCACCAGAGTGAATACAGAGGGTTCACCACAAGATGTAAACCATTGGTGAGCCTCAAAAACAGGAAGGCCAGATTAGAGTTTGCCAAACGACATCTAAAAAAGCCTTCACAGTTCTGGAACAACATCCTATGGACAGATGAGACCGACATCAACTTGTACCAGAGTGATGGGAAGAGAAGAGTATGGAGAAGGAAAGGAACTGCTCATGGTCCTCAGCATACCACCTCATCAGTGAAGCATGGTGGTGGTAGTGTCATGGCGCGGGCATGTATGGCTGCCAATGGAACTGGTTCTCTTGTATTTATTGAAGATGTGAGTGCTGACAAAAGCAGCCGGATGAATTCTGAAGTGTTTCGGGAATATTATCTGCTCATATTCAGCCAAATGCTTCAGAACTCATTGGACGCTTCACAGTGCAGATGGACAATGACCCAAAGCAAACTGCAAAAGCAACCAAAGAGTTTTTTAAGGGAAAGAAGTGGAATCTTATGCAATGGCCAAGTCAATCACCTGACCTGAATCCGATTGAGCATTTCACTTGCTGAAGACAAAACTGAAGGGAAAATACCCCAAGAACAAGCAGGAACTGAAGACAGTTGCAGTAAAGGCCTGGCAGAGCATCACCAGGGATGGAACCCAGCGTCTGGTGATGTCTATGCGTTCCAGACTTCAGGCTGTAATTGACTGCAAAGGATTTGCAACCAAGTATTAAAAAGTGAAAGTTTGATTTATGATTATTATTCTGTCCCATTACTTTTGGTCCCTTAACAAGTGGAAGGCACGTATGCAAACTGTTGTAATTCCTACACCATTCACCTGATTTGGATGTAAATACCCTCAAATTAAAGCTGACAGTCTGCAGTTAAAGCATATCATGTTAGTTTCATTTCAAATCGATTGTGGTGGTGTATAGAGCCAAAAATGTTGGAATTGTATCCATGTCCCAATATTTATGGACCTGACTGTATGCTGCTCAAGAAAATTGAAGGAACACTTTGAAAACCCATCAGATCTCAATGGGGAGAAATCTCCTGTTGGATATCTATACTGATATGGACTGGATAATGCGTTAGGAACGTAAGGACGCCCCATCTTTTGATGGAAATTAAAATGATCGACCTACAGAGGACTGAATTCAAAGACATCCTCGAAAATCAAAGTGAAAAAAATGATGCAGCAGGTTAGTCTATTTTGCTGAAATTTCATAGCAGCAACTCAGAATGGTCCTCAGGAGTTTGTATGGCCCCCATGTGCTTGTATGCATGCCTGACAATGTCGGGGGAGGCTCCTAATGAGACCACGGTTGGTGTCCTGGGGGATTTCCTCCCCGATATGGACCAGGGCTTCACTGAGCTCCAGGAAAGTCTAAGGTGCAACCTGGCAGGGTCGGATGGACCGAAACATGACATCCCAGAGGCGTTCTATTGTATTTAGGTCAGGCGAGCGTGGGGGCCATTCAATAGTATAAATTCCTTCATCCTCCAGGAACTGCCTGCATACTCTCGCCACATGAGGCCGGGCATTGTTGTGCACCAGGAGGAACCCAGGACCCACTGCACCAGCGTAGGGTCTGACAATGGGTCCAAGGTTCATTCCGATATCTAATGGCAGTCAGGGTGCCATGGTCTAGCCTGTAGAGGTCTGTGTGTCCCTCCATGAATAGGCCTCCCCAGATCATCACTGACCCACCACCAAAACGGTCATGCTGAACCATGTTACAGGCAGCAGAATGTTCTCCACGGCTTCTCCAGACCCTTTCACATCTGTCACGTGCTCAGGGTGGATTTGCTCTCATCTGTGAAAAGCACAAGGCACCAGTGGTGGACCTGCCAATCCTGGTGTTCAATGTCAAATGCCAATCCAGCTCTATGGTGCCGGGCAGTGAGCACAGGGCCCACTAGAGGATGTCGGGCCCTCAGGCCACCCTCATGAAGTCTGTTTCTGATGGTTTGGTCAGAGACATTCACACCAGTGGCCTGCTGGAGGTCATTTTGTAGGGCTCTGGCAGTGCTCATCCTGTCCCTCCTTGCACAAAAGGAGCAGATACCGGTCCTGCTGATGGGTTAAGGACCTTCTACGGCCCTGTCCAGCTCTCTTAGAGTAACTGCTTGTCTCCTGGAATCTCCTCCATGCTGTTGAGACTGTGCTGGGAGACACAGCAAACCTTCTTGCAATGGCACGTATTGATGTGTCATCCTCAAGGAGAGTTCTGCTTGTGCAACCTCTGTAGGGTCCAGGTATCATCTCATGCTACCATTAATGACACTGACCCTAGCCAAATGCAAAACTAATGATTAAAAGTCAGAAAAGATGAGTCGGGGAAAAAAAAAAAAGAAAAAAAGTCTGGTCTCCACCTATAAAACCATTCCTGTTTTTGGGGTCATCTCGTTGTTGCCCATCTAGTGCACCTGTTGTTAATTTTATTACTACCAAAGTAGCTGAAACTGATTAACAACCCCCTCTGCTACTTACCTGACCAGATCAACATCCCAGGAGTTCCATTGACTTGATATTATACTCAGATTACAAAGTGTTTAATTTTTTTGAGCAGTGTATATCTGATGCACTGTGGCAATAGGACAGCAACTAGGACGGTGCTAAAACCCCGACATGAACCTGACACTTGGAGCCGATCTCAGTGTACCCATTGAAACTATTTTATAAAAATGATGAATCCTACCTAAGAACCAGTACCACTCTATGGCTGCGAGCAGCAAAGACTCTTCGGTGGCTGTGTTGGGTTTAGGTTTCCCTTGTTATTTGCAAACTGTGGACAATCTAGATGTGTTTTGCGTGATCTCAAAAACAAAAAGGAGGAGCCTTAGATCATCTATATGCCAGCTCACGATATTACCGTAGTTTTTGTAAACTTAAACCCCACATATACAACCAGGCAGACCACAGCATAGACACCATGGTCCACATAGTGGTTGCAGCAGTCGTCTCATGTGGCTTCTAAGCTAGAAGACATAGGCAGAAAAGCATGTGTCGTATTTAGTGAAGGACGCCTGGGGGCTACTCAGTACAGCAAAACTATAGTATTTTCATAGAAATATTAATGAGATAAACAAAATATTGGCTAGAAAAAAAAAAGGCAGGCAGGGAAAAGTGTAGTGTTTCCTCACATTGGTGGTCAGTGGAGAAATATCCCCTTATATTGATGGTCAGTAAAATGCTCCCCTACACTGGTGGTCAGAGGAGGGGGGTTGTTAGATTAATGGAAAATGGGAGGTCAGTGGTCAGATTGCCCCTCACATTGATGGTCGGCGGGAAGAACGCCCCTCACCAGGGGCGGACTGACCATTTGGAAACTCTGGCACTGCCCTAGGCCCCGGGGTCAGTAGGGGGCCCCATGAGATGACCCTGGTACCCCTTTCATAGGCTTTGAGTTTGGGCAAGGACACAGGGGCCCCATGATCCCCTATTGCCTGAGGGCCCCATGAATTGTCAGTCCACCCCTGCCCCTCGTATTGGAGGTCGGCGGGAAGAACGTCCCTCGCATGGGTGGTCGGCGGGAAGAACGCCCCTCGCATGGGTGGTCGGCGAGAAGAATGTTCCTTACATTGGGGGTCAGCGAGAAGAATGTTCCTTACATTGGGGGTCAGTGGGAAGAATGCCCCTTACATTGGGGGTCAGTGGGAAGAATGCCCCTTACATTAGTCAGTGGGAAGAATGCTCCTTACATTGGTGGTCAGTGAGAAGAATGCTCCTTACATTGGTGGTCAGTGAGAAGAATGCTCCTTACATTGGTGGTCAGTGGGAAGAATGCTCCTTACATTGGTGATCAGTGGGAAGAATGTCCCTTACATTGGTGGTCAGTGGGAAGAGTGCTCCTTACATTGGTGGTCAGTGAGAAGAATGCTCCTTTTATTGGTGGTCAGTGGGAAGAGTGCTCCTTACATTGGTGGTCAGTGGGAAGAATGTCCCTTACATTGGTGGTCTGTGAGAAGAATGCCCCTTACATTGGGGATCAGTGGGAAGAATGTCCCTTACATTGGTAGTCAGTGAGAAGAATGTCCCTTACATTGGTGGTCAGTGGGAAGAATGATCCTTTTATTGGTGGTCAGTGGGAAGAATGCTCCTTACATTGGTGGTCAGTGGGAAGAATGCTACCTACATTGGTGGTCAGTGGAAAGAATGTCCCTTACATTGGTGGTCAGTGGGAAGAATGATCCTTACATTGGTGGTCAGTGGGAAGAACGTCCCTTACATTGGTGGTCAGTGGGAAGAATGTCCCTTACATTGGTGGTCAGTGGGAAGAATGTCCCTTACATTGGTGGTCAGTGGGAAGAATGATCCTTTTATTGGTGGTCAGTGGGAAGAATGTCCCTTACATTGGTGATCAGTGGGAAGAATGATCCTTACATTGGTGGTCAGTGGGAAGAATGTCCCTTACATTGGTGGTCAGTGAGAAGAATGTCCCTTACATTGGTGGTCAGTGAGAAGAATGATCCTTTTATTGGTGGTCAGTGGGAAGAATGTCCTCCTAACACATAGCTAAACAGATCACTGGTGTCAGTAGTAACACGAGAGGCAGAAAACCTGTAATTCCTCAAGGCATTGCTAGAAACCTCTGAAGCAACCCTGGGGTTCCACAGAACCCCAATTTAAAAAGACTGATATATATACTGGATTACTGAGCACCAACAAGCCTGTGCAAGAAGAAAAAAAAACAAAAAAACCCCATACACCAGGGACAACAGAATTAAGGTACAAAAATGCAAAAATTTTATTATTTAAGCTCAGTAGAAACAAAATTTACAAGTTACAATATCAAACCAGTGTGTATAAATGTGCAAGAGGATACCACAGCATGTAATAAAAATCACCCTTTTTCACTAAATGGTGAACCCGATACCTCGAAGAAGTCACTTGGAAATGACAGTATTGTTTCGTGGAGCTGTAAAAGGCACGCATACAACATTTAATGAAGGCACTGTGGCAGCCATGATTAAAAGGCACTAGAGTCAAGTGGTAAGTCACATTCTGTGGATACTGTGGATGAATGGAGCGGTCATTCACACACAGAATTCATTTATAAACAGGAACAGACAGAAAGTTGCGCAGAACGGCATCTTTGTGTGCAACAGGGACAGCTGTATCTTTGCCTAAACCATCGTACCACCCCAGTAAACCGGCACCAACTCTCCCCTTTGCTCGTGTTCGCTGCTTGCTTACCTCCGTAGTGCTGCTGCAGCCTTCTCCAATGTCAACGGCCTGTTCACCCAAATTTTCTGAGACACCGTTCACCCCTGTAAAATGAATCTCTATAGACCTGAAAGGGCTATATAATGAGAATGAAGGTCCTTGGGTATAGGACTCAACGTATGGGGATAGGCATGGCTCAACATCATTTTGTCAGAAAGGCTGTGAACACCAGACGGAGGCAACAGCACTGTGGCAGTAAGTGCAATAGCTGGGGGAAGAGGGCAGGGCAACAACAGTTCAGGGTAAGGAGGCAAAAAGCTACAGACGTCATTCAGTTCAGAATGTATTAATCCATGCGTCTGAATAATGCCAGTCTTTTCTTTTTGTAGCTCATCTCTCAATGGATTGAATCTTTGTTTGCAAATTCAGCACTTCAAGTGTTATGTCAAAATATAGGCTTGTGACGCTACTTCCTGAAAGAAAAAAAAAAAAAAACAAAAACAAAAACAAAAAAAAAAAAAAAAAAAAAGGCACTAGAAATCACAAAGAGCCCTATAAAGTTTCATATATCTCAGCTGGCCATTTTTCTTTTTTATTGCAAACTACTCGACCGAGATCGATATTTGCTTGTTTCTAAAAATCATACTTTTTTTCTTTCCATGACAACGGCCATGATTACAGCTGAGACTTGGAATGTGCTGCTCCCACACATGAACTTGGGTCGCTCTCCCAAGAGGCTGGGTGTAAAATGCCCCCCACACACTGCACAAATCCAAAAGGGAAGGAGGAAGGCGGCTGCACTCAAGGATTGCTGCAGAATAATAAATTCTGCGTCCAAAAAAAAAACAAAGAAAAAAAAACATTAAAAAGACACCTTGTTTTCATATCTTCTACAGTCACTGGTTAAAGCAGTCACCATGGTTGTATCAAAGTCCTGTAGTGTAATGTATACATAGTAGTGTAAAGGTTTGGACACAGTAGTCATGTAAGGCACTTCCCTAAAATTTGATCAGTTATCATGCTAAAAGGTTCCCTTTAAGCCAGGGGTATCTAAAACTGACCCTATGAAAAGTTTGCTGTACTTCAGACTTTAGGGGGGCTGAATTGTGGTCAGTGGGGGGGGGGGGGGGGTAGAAAATGTCCCGGGACCAGGATACACGAGAATAAGAACCGCCTTAGGATTGGTAGTCAGTAAATGTAAGAGTATTGCCCCATCGTTGGCGCCAGTGGGAGGAATAGCCGCACCATCGCCGGCGCCAGTGGGAGGAATAGCCGCACCATCGCCGGCGCCAGTGGGAGGAATAGCCGCACCATCGCCGGCGCCAGTGGGAGGAATAGCCGCACCATCGCCGGCGCCAGTGGGAGGAATAGCCGCACCATCGGCGGCGCCAGTGGGAGGAATAGCCGCACCATCGCTGGCGCCAGTGGGAGGAATAGCCGCACCATCGGCGGCGCCAGTGGGAGGAATAGCGCACCATCGGCGGCGCCAGTGGGAGGAATAGCGCACCATCGGCGGCGCCAGTGGGAGGAATAGCCTCACCATCGGCGGCGCCAGTGGGAGGAATAGCCGCACCATCGCTGGCGCCAGTGGGAGGAATAGCCGCACCATCGCTGGCGCCAGTGGGAGGAATAGCGCACCATCGCTGGCGCCAGTGGGAGGAATAGCGCACCATCGCTGGCGCCAGTGGGAGGAATAGCGCACCATCGCTGGCGCCAGTGAGAGGAATAGCGCACCATCATTGGTGTCAGTGAGAGGAATAGCGCACCATCATTGGTGTCAGTGAGAGGAATAGCGCACCATCTTGGTGTCAGTGGGAGGAATAGTGCCCCATCATTGGTGTCAGTGGGGGGAATAGTGCCCCATCATTGGTGTCAGTGGGAGGAATAGTGCCCCATCATTGGTGTCAGTGAGAGGAATAGCGCACCATCTTGGTGTCAGTGGGAGGAATAGTGCCTTGTATCTTTCAGAAGAATAGCGCCCCAAGGGCCGGTTAAAGGCTGGCAAAGGGCCGGATCCATCCGGTCCCCAGGCCAAAGTTTGGAGACCTCTGCTTTAGGCCCATCCATAGACGGTGCAAACTTCTTTCCTGAAACCACGGGTTGTAAGAAAGAAATTTGCACGATTCCCTCCTCCCGAGCTATTGTCTTCTCCCGATGGGGCCGGGGAAATCCACGCACGCCGGGAGAAGACAGTGATTATCGCTGGAGCAAAAGCAGCCGCTATTGATAAATGCAACTAAATCCGGCAGGCTGGTTTTACCAACGTTGATCAATTTGGCACATCCAGCCTGCCCACACACAGTTTGAATCTCAGCCGCTTCCTGTTGAACCGGTCAAGATTCAAACCGGCTATGACCAGCCTTAGTGTTTTAAATGCTGCCAACATGAAATCTGCTGTGTGCGGGGAATAGTGTTGTAAACAAAAAAGGATGAAAAAAAAAAAAAAAAAAAAAAAAGTTAAAAACGGAATTAACCACACGTGTGAACGGCATCAACTATTTTTCACATACACAGATAACATCTTAGATTTTTGGTCCTTGTGGCTTTCAGACCAGTATACAAAAGAGTGAAAAAAAATAAAAAAATAGAAATACTACCAGCAGGAAATCATCCAGTTTTTTTTAAAAAGAATAAAATCAGTAGGAATGTTTAAAAAAATACTATTTACAAGGTCAGTGAAAAAAAAAAAAAAAAAAAAAAAAAAAAAAAAAAAAAACACAAAATCAACCCTAACGCCTCGTACACGTGCTCTGCTCTCTGAAGAGCAATCAGATTCAGTGAGCTTTTGACAGGCAGTGAGGTATTACATTGCCTCCTCATCGCCTGCTTTAACCCCTTGAATATCAAATTAGCGTGCCGCAAGCAGGCGCAGGGCTCTTGCGGAGCGGTCCCATTTACCTGAAAGCGTCAGGGAGTATAATTCCTACAGCCGCATATGTACACCCCCTGGCCGCTGGTTCTGCAGCTATAGGGGTAGCGGTAAAACCACGGCTCATCCTCCCAAACTCACGTGCGAACGAGTCCTAAATCTCCAGCATTCGAATAGTCTCTTGTAACAAAGATTTTTTTTTTTTCACTTTTAAACTCACCTATTTTACACAGAGCAAATCAAATCTTTTTATATTCACACAATTAAATTAAAAACAAAATTTTGCTGAAAAGAATAAAAACAAAATCTTAAAAACAAAAAAAAAAAAAAAAAAATACATGCTTTGACTTATATTCCTTTAAAATTGTGATCCTACCCAGCCAAGGACAGAATGTGATTGAAGAAAAAAGAAAGAAAAAAAAAAAAAAAAAAATTGTTCACTTGTCAAACTGAAGGGTTTGGTCCATTTTTTGGTTCTGGGCTCACACAACCAAGCTCTCTCGGCTCAAAGCTTCACCCTGAAAGACAAAAATTCACAACATATGCAGTTAGTAGTTTATTTTCTGGACTCCAACCTATCCTTCCAGCCCCAAGTCCAATCTTTAACAAACTCGTGCAGACTCCACCTCCGCAACATCGCCAAAATCCTCACGTTCCTAACCCCAGAAACCACTAAACAGCTCATCCACTCCCTCATCATATCACGACTCGACTACTGCAACTCCCTCCTCACTGGCCTGCCTCGCCACAGGCTATCCCCGCTTCAGTCCATCCTGAATACGGCTGCCAGACTCATTCACCTTTCCAACCGCTCCATCTCCACCACCCCCCTCTGCCAATCCCTCCACTGGCTTCCGATTGCGCAACGGATCAATTTCAAAATCCTAACACTGACGTACAAAGCCGTCCACCATACTGCCCCGAACTACATCACCGACCTAATATCCAAGTACCGCCCAACACGCACACTCCGCTCCTCACAAGACCTCCTTCTCTCTAGTTCCCTGGTCTCCTCCTCCCATGCCCGCCTCCAGGACTTCTCCAGGGTGTCACCCATCCTCTGGAACTCCCTGCCCAAACCCATCAGATTATCACCTACTCTCCTCCCCTTTAGGGGCACCCTGAAAACCCATCTCTTCAGGGAAGCCTACCCCACCCCCTGCTAACTTGCAGACCTCCTCCACTCTTCCTACCACTCCATCCCCCACAGCTATCTCCTCCTGTGCCACCATCCCCTCCCTCCTAGATTGTAAGCTCGAAAGAGCAGAGCCCTCGATCCCCTCATGATTTGCATTGTATTGGTATTGTTCTGTCACATGATCTGTCCCCCTTTGTAATGTACAGCGCTGAGCGAACTATCAGCGCTTTATAAATACTGTATAATAATAATTTAAAAAGAAAAAAAGCAATGGCTACTTTCCCTATGACAGGTTCTCTTCTAAAGAAGTTGTCCTTTATTTACCATCTTAAAACTGACTCACCCTTTTCATCTTCTTCCCTCGAGAGGAGACTGATTCGGTTTCCGTATACGGAGGAGGTGGCGGTGGAAAGTCGTCGTCGTCATGGCGGTTCCTTCTGCCATCTGAGCGGGAAGAATTGGCGATGCTGTCTAGACCATCACGGCTTCCGGCTTTCTGCTGTTGCTTCCTGCGCAAAACCTCATCAAGGAACCGATCATCATACGCTGGGTCTTGTCGGCGGCGGCCCACATCTTGGAGGTCATCTCTGCTGCGGCTTCTTTTACCTCCATAGTAATCGTCACGGGGATCAGGAGAGCGCCCGTCCTTACCTCGACCGTATCCTCGGCTGCTGTTGTCGTCATCGGAATTGCGTCTTCCTCGGCTTCGACCCTCAGAGGGAGAATCGCGATAAGGTCGGTCTCGTCTGTCATACTCGTCCAGGTCGTCTACAGAGCGGGTACGGCCACGTCTCTCCATTGGTGGGCCATGATGGAATCTATCGTCATAAGGGCCCTGTCGAGGAATCGGAGGGCGACGGTAGTCACTTCCCAGGAGGCTTTCCTCCTCCATATCCCGGATGGGAGACATGCCTTGGTTGCGCAAGCGATCCAGACCGTTCCTGAGATTGTTTCTCTGATCTTCCTCATGTAAAGAGCTCACCTCACTCATGACTGTAGCTGGAAAGGAAATTAAAAAAAAAAAAAATTAAAAAAGGCATTCCGCAAATTAAACACTATTATACAGGATTTATATATATATTATTATACAGGATTTATATATATATTATTATACAGGATTTATATATATATTATACAGGATTTTATATATATATTATACAGGATTTATATATATATTATACAGGATTTATATATATTTTATTATTATACAGGATTTATATATATATTATTATTATACAGGATTTATATATTATACAGGATTTATATATATTATTATTGTACAGGATTTATATATTATACAGGATTTATATATATTATTATACAGGATTTATATATATTTATTATTATATACAGGATTTATATATATTTATTATTATACAGGATTTATATATATTTATTATTATACAGGATTTTATATATATTTTATTATACAGGATTTATATAGATTAATAATATATATAAATCCTGTATAATAATAAATATATATAAATCCTGTATAATAATAAATATATATAAATCCTGTATAATAATATATATATATAAATCCTGTATAATATATAAATCCTGTACAATAATAATAATAATAATATATATAAATCCTGTATAATATATAAATCCTGTATAATATATATAAATCCTGTATAATAATAATAATATATATATAAATCCTGTATAATATATATAAATCCTGTATAATAATAATAATAATATATATATATAAATCCTGTATAATAATATTATTATACAGGATTTATATATATTATTATACAGGATTTATATATATTATTATACAGGATTTATATATATTTATTATTATACAGGATTTATATATATTTATTATTATACAGGATTTATATATATTATTATACAGGATTTTCTATATATTATTATTATACAGGATTTATGGCGCCAACAGTTTACTCTGCGCTTTACAATATAAACGGGAGACAATACAGCAACAATACAGTTCAATACAAGAGGGATAGGAGGGCCCTGATCCTTGGAGCTTACAATCTAAGATACATTGTTACCTACTAGTTAACTACTTTCAGACTTTAAGTATTTACATCGGGATGATACCCAGTATTTTTTTTTCAGCTTTCTTGTAAAAGCACTCCTAGCCGCTGGATTGCTTTGACAACTGACGGGACTCTTTGAATTTAATTTGTTGGCAATGGCAACATAGTGGAGAATTGGCAGAGAGGGGTGCTGGACCCTGAGCGATTGGTAAGGTGAATAGATCTGGTAGCAGCATTCATGACAGACTGACATACATGTGGCCGTGCGGGCCGCGTTTTGCACAAGCACGAGAGCCTATTCATTTGAATGGACTCCCGTGCCACGCAAAGAAGTCCCTGCACTTCTTTGGAAAACGCAGCTCGCAGGGGAACCTCGGTTCCCAGTACGGTTGCATTTTCCAGTGTGGGCGGCGTGCCATTAGAAATAATGGCACCCACCCGCGGGTCCGCATTTCTCTGTGCAGGTGGTACGGCTGCACGGATTTTCATGCGGATCCCCAGCGGCACCACCCGCACAGATGTGAACCTAGGGTGAAGGAGGGAAAGCCTGTGTATAAGTAGGCCAAATGAGGATGGACTTACAATATTCAAGGCAAGAGATAACAAGAGAATGAATCAGTAGCTTCCTAGTGGCATTGGTTAGGAAGGAGCATATTCTGGAAATATTACAGAGATAAGGTGAACATACCATTTTCAAATCTACCGCCAGGGGCTCCTGGTCTGGTTGGGTCGAAATTTGCCAGCTCCTTCTCCATGTAGTAAAGGACCCTCATGGAATCATCCTGCTGGTTGGCCTGTATGCGGTAGCCACTGCGCACTGCAACATGTAAAAAAAAAAAAAACACATTAGATTCCAAAGCATAGCTTCTATACCCAGAGACCATTGGTCAATCATTCAAGATCTGCCATGTATAAAATTCTAAGTGAAAGTAAACCATTATTGTTATAAACACAGACTACCTGGAGATGACATGTAGGGAGAGAAGAAAGGGAATACAGCAGCACTCTCTCTCTCGTATTTAGACATGTATGCAGAAAACAGAAGGCCGGGGGGTACAAGGATTGGAGCAGAACTGGTCAGCTGTTCACAGGAATCAGCCAGGTTTTATTTAATGCAGCAAAACAGCCAACCAGCTGCTTCAGAAAGGTCACTCCACCCAAAATTGTTATCAGAGAGTAAGACAGTAACTCCAGATATTACAGTAAACCAGCCCTATTAAATTCATAGACAAGACACTACCATGCATATATACACATACCTGACGTTGGTACATCGTTGTCTCGAATTAGAGGAGCCTGGGAGCTGTGTCCGCCCACTAGAAGAAGAACACCACATTAACATCTGGAGGAAAACGTTTCAAGTTACACTGCAGCTAGAAGATTGTTCTACCAGATATCAAATTATTACCAGAACTTGCTGCATCGAAGTCCATTCCGTATCCGTTGTACATGGGCTGCATTGGTGCCATTTGGATGATGGATCCGGGTGGCGGCACTTTCACCTGGCTGGGATGGGAGTACACTGAAGGCGCATACACACTGGGGGCATACATACTAGGCACTCCGGCTGTCGCTGCCTTTCCTGCCTCATACACTGAGGAAACAGAAAGCGGGAGATTAGATTTATTCCTTGCTTTTGTACAGCTAATTCAATTTGCCATTCGTGTTTATGATTAAAAGGGAACTTCTCATTATCCAATTATGGTCCTTAATTGGCAATGCTGGGGCTTCTGGAAGAACGTTTATTTTTTAATGGCAAGCATGTCACCCTGTAAAATGCTGCAAAATGTGCTGTGCCAGGACTAGTATAGGCTTCCTGCATCAGATGGGAGCCTCACCTATGACAGAAGGGCATTCCTGATAAAGCTGAATTCAAAAAAGGAGAAGGAAAAGGGGGGGAAGGGGAAGGAAAGGAAAGGAAAAAGGGGAAGGAAAGGAAAGGAAAAAGGGGAGAAGGGGAAGGAAAGGAAAGGAAAAAGGGGAAGGAAAGGAAATGAAAGGAAAAAGGGGAAGGAAAGGAAATGAAAGGAAAAAGGGGAAGGAAAGGAAATGAAAGGAAAAGGGGGAAGGAAAGGAAATGAAAGGAAAAGGGGGAGAAGGGGAAAAGGAAAGGAAGGAAAGGGGGGAGAAGGGGAAGGAAAGGAAAAGGGGGAGAAGGGGAAGGAAAGGAAAAGGGGGAGAAGGGGAAGGAAAGGAAAAGGGGGAGAAGGGGAAGGAAAGGAAAAGGGGGAGAAGGGAAAGGAAAGGAAAAGGGGGAGAAGGGAAAGGAAAGGAAAAGGGGGAGAAGGGGAAGAAAGGAAAGGAAAAGGGGGAGAAGGGGAAGAAAAGGAAAGGAAAAGGGGAGAAGGGGGAAGGAAAGGAAAAGGGGAGAAGGGGGAAGGAAAGGAAAAGGGGGAGAAGGGGGAAGGAAAGGAAAAGGGGAGAAGGGGGAAGGAAAGGAAAAGGGGAGAAGGGGGAAGGAAAGGAAAAGGGGAGAAGGGGGAAGGAAAGGAAAAGGGGAAGGAAGGAAGGAAAAGGGGAGAAGGGGAAGGAAGGAAGGAAAAGGGGAGAAGGGGAAGGAAGGAAGGAAAAAGGGGAGAAGGGGAAGGAAGGAAGGAAAAGGAGAGAAGGGGAAGGAAGGAAGGAAAAGGGGAGAAGGGGGAAGGAAGGAAGAGGGGAGAAGGGGGAAGGAAGGAAGGAAAAGGGGAGAAGGGGGAAGGAAGGAAGGAAAAGGGGGAGAAGGGGGAAGGAAGGAAGGAAAAGGGGAGAAGGGGGAAGGAAGGAAGGAAAAAGGGGAGAAGGGGGAAGGAAGGAAGGAAAAGGGGGAGGGGGAAGGAAGGAAGGAAAAGGGGAGAAGGGGGAAGGAAGGAAGGAAAAGGGGAGAAGGGGGAAGGAAGGAAGGAAAAGGGGAGAAGGGGGAAGGAAGGAAGGAAAAGGGGAGAAGGGGGAAGGAAGGAAAAGGGGAGAAGGGGGGAAGGAAGGAAAAGGGGGAGAAGGGGGAAGGAAGGAAAAGGGGAGAAGGGGGAAGGAAGGAAAAGGGGAGAAGGGGAAGGAAAGGAAAAGGGAGAAGGGGAAGGAAGGAAAAGGGAGAAGGGGAAGAAGGAGAAGGAAAGGGTAATATGTTGTCCTCATTCAACTGCAAAACACAGCTTCTTTACAGCTGGCTAGTCTCTATCATCCAAAGTGTAAATCTTTATTCTCTACATGGTAAAACACAACTGTAACATGCTAACGCATTTCGGCTATAACGGTTACAGCTGAAACGCATTAGCCGGTTACATTTGTGTGTTACCATGTAGCAAATATAGATTTACATTTTGGATGATACCGAGTAGACGGCTGAAATTAATAGGAAGGAAGGAAAGAAGGGGCAATGCCCTTGCAGTGGGGCCCTCCACAATGAAAGGATTAAATGTGCACTAAGACTAGGGAGTAGAGGAAAAGACTAATACTTATCTTACTACATCTCCAGCTACCTGTGCTCTACTCTACGTAGCTCCAAGCTGCTGTCGGGCCCTCAATGTTCTCACATATAATACAGGACTAATCATCCCGAATTGTATGTGAGGACATCAGAGTGCGACCTCCGACCAGAGCTTCTTAGCAGAGAAGAGACATCAAGGAATCAGTCTCAAAGGAATGGAGGGAGCCTGCTAAAGCAAGGAACAATTACAGCGAATACCTCTGTCTCTGGACTTAAGCAAGTAACCCTCATTGTAGGGAGGACCCGCTGCGACAAACAAAAAACACAAACAATCCCCTCTAGGTGATTAATGCACATATTAAGGATTTGTAATACTTTTTTTTTGCAGATTCCTACCCTTTTCTGCTCTGAACATATAGCCATTTGTTTGATCACGTTATTTGAATAATGATTCGGAATAGAATCGACTGGTTCATTACAATCATCTGAAAAATCTGATTTGTATCTTTTCAGATTGAGCAACAAACAAATGGCATAGGAGCTGTCTGAACTGGCTGCTGAGATACAACCACTAACATGGTGCAGTAACGGAGCGGCAAACTTACATGCTCGAGGGCAGCAGCACTTCTCAGGGCAACAGGGGCAGCGCACATAGCAGCAGCAGGTGTGTGGGCAGCACTGGCACCAGCAGATGCCAATCATCAGGAGTAAGAAGAAGCCAGCAAGGATAATAAGCACGACAAACAGCCAATCTGGAAAACACAAAAGGTAGCAAAACAAGTTGAAAAACACAAGAAGCGTTTACCAAGAATAAAATGTCTTCATGAGGAAAAAACATAGGAGAAAGTGAATACTGAAGCAGAGTATGATCCCTTCGTAGACTGGGCCGCAGGGCAGTATTCCAACATAACGACCCCAAACACACCTCCAAGACCACCACTGCCTTGCTAAAGAAGCGGAGGGTAAAAGGTGATGGACTGGCCAAGCATATCTCCAGACCTAAACCCTATGGAGCATCTCAAACGGAAGGTGGAGGAGCACAAGGTCTCTAACATCCACCAGCTCCGGGACGTCATCATGGAGGAGTGGAAGAGGACTCCGGTGGCAACCTGTGAAGCTCTGGTGACCTCCAAGCCCAAGAGGGTTAAGGCAGTGCTGGAAAATAATGGCGGCCACACAAAATATTGACACTTTAGGCCCAGTTTGGACCTTGTCACTTCGGGGTGGACTCACTTTTGTTGCCAGCGGTGTAGACATTAATGGCGGTGTGTTGAGTTATTTTGAGGGGACAGCAAATTTACATGTTATACAAACTGTACACTGACTACGTCACATTGTAGCAAAAGTGTCATTTCTTCAGTGTTGTCACAAAAAGATAGAATCAAATATTTACAAAAATGTGAGGGGGGACTCACTTCTGGGAGATACTGTATATTCAGTTTAAAAAAATCCTGCATTTTTTTTTTTTTTTTTTTTTTTACTGCAACCCCAGTGTGAAAACATACATAGACAAACATAGGGAAGCATTTTTCTTGAGCTTTTCGGGTGCTTTTTTTTTTTTTTTTTTTTTTTTTTTTTTTTTTTTTTTTTTTAATGCAAAAATGCTTCAAAAGCTTCAGTGTAAAAGTAGCCTAAAGGCTTTCACTGTCAGTAACAAAAAGGTCACACAAGAGCAGACACAGAGGAATCTAACGGGGGTTGCGGACAATCTAACCCAGAGGTAGGCAACCTCCAAACTTCAGCTGTGGAAAAACTCCAAATCCCATTAGGCATTGCAAGACGGACAGCCACAGATGTGACCGCCGATAGAGGAGGCATGACAGGATTTGTAGTGCCAGAACAGCTGGAATTCTGGAGGTTGTCTACCCGTTCTAACCCTCCTCATCACTATCCAAAACTAAGTCACTGAGCACACTGCTGTGATTTAAAATTGCGCAATTTGTGTGCAATTTCAGATGTGATTTCATTGCTACTTGTGAGGATTTTCAATGATTTTTTGCAATTTGCAGCGCGATTTCCACTATATTTTATGTATGTGAAATCACAAAAAAACTGCAGAAAAATTAATGCTAGAACTGCAGAAAATCACAAGTTAAGACACGGACATTCACTAGATGCGATTTCAATTTGCAAATTGCACCTGAAATAGTACCGGTGTGACCGGACACTACAGAAAGTTTTAGTTGGCGTGACAATTTAAAAACATTTTGACTCAACAGATTGCAATTTTGGTTATTATCCATTAACCACTTGCCGTCCGCTTGCTGTTGATAAACGGCAAGACGGTGGCAGTCCAAGGACGGGTTGGCGTTCATAAACGGCGCCCGCCTTTTCTAGCTGTGCGCGCTCCCTGGGAGCGCGCAGCACCGCGATCCGGAGCCCGGTGTATCCTCCGGACACAGTGAAACACCGATCATCGGACGGGACCTCTAGACGAGGTCCCGATCATGTGATCACTGATTGGCCAATCAGTGATCACATGCAAAGTAGTAAGCAAAATGTCACTTGTGACATCATTGCTTACTACGTGTGAAATCTGTGAATGATCACAGAGGTCACATGGTACAGGGCTATTCACAACAGCCTTGTACCATGTGACAAGGTGTGACCAATCACAGCTCTCACAGTATTTCTCAATGGCTGCAAGAATGCAGACAGAGCGAAAGAGAAATGATTGCTTTTACATCCTATATGGGTGTAAAAGCAATCACTGTAAAAAAAAAAATCTTCATCACCCCCCACAAGTAGTACAGTGTCACCATGGTGACACTGTACTGCTAGGGTGACAGTATGTAAAAAAAAAAAAAAAAAATATATAAAAAAATAAAATAAAAATGTAAAACAAAAAGTTTAAAAATTATAATTTTTTGGTTATAAACTAATTTGGCTTATTTTTTTTTTTTTATTAAAAATATAACAGAATACATTTTGGTTAAGATTTATGACGAAAGATTATTTATTTGCAAAATTTTTATAAGAAAAACACTTTTTTTTTTTCAAAATTTCTAGACTTTTTCATTTACATAGCAAAAAAAATAAAAATCCCAGCTGTGAATAAATACCACCAAAATAAGGCTTTATCTGTCTCAAAAAAATGGTAAATAATTCATATGGGTACAGTGCTGCATGACCGCGCAATTGTCATTCAAAATGTGACATCGCTGAAAGCTGAAAATTGCCCTGGACAGGAAGGGGGTAAAAGTGTCCAGACTGGAAGTGGTTAAGAGATGCTACTTTATGAATTTCTCTTTAGCAAAGGCTAGTTGTCAGTGGCAAATAAACGTAAAGTGTGTCTAAAGACAAAACCTTTTTTTCTCCAGTTTAGGATGGAATGGGGAAAAGTTGAGCCCGTGGCAGGTTTCACTGCTATCCGGGGCCCCGATCGAGAGATTTGCCCTTGCTTCCTGTCCAGGTGACACCTTTTTTTTTGCCAAACAGAAGAGAGGGAAAATCTGCAACTGGGAAAGACTATAAAATCTCTCTCTCTGAAGGTAGGTTTTTATTACACAAGAGGTGGATTTATTAACCCCTTTACGCCGGCCGCACACAAATGTGCGTCCTCCCGGCGTCTGGGCCTAGACGCCGAGCGGCCGCACATTTGCGTTCAGGTAAGAAAAAAACGTATGTGCTGAGAGCGCGCGCTCCCAGCACACATGTCCGGTACTCACGGAAAGCTCCCGATCTGCTCTTTCGATCGGGACCTTTCCCGATCATGTAACCGCCATGACGACGCCCCTAAACCACGCCTCGCCTCCCAGCCTCTGAAACTCTTAAAGGGCCGGGAGGCGCCTCTGGGAAAGGGTTAAAGGCAAACAGACTGAGCACACTGCAAGGGCAGTCGCTCCAGAGCTTAGTAAAAGGGGAAGCTCTGCTGACTTCCATCATCCAAAAAATGCTGTTTTTTTTTCCTTGCATGTAATTAGGTATTCTTCGCAAAGTGAAGCTTTCCCTCATTTACTAAACTCTGAAGCAAATGCACAATCTGTTTACCTTTAGTAAATCAACCCCACTGTATGTGGCCTCTCATGATGCATCACCCTGCCCATCTGTGTTTTTTTTTTTTAATCTGAGCATACAATAGGCCATTGATACATGCAGCTCGGTGTCCATACCTGGCACGGTTGTGTGCCAGTGACACCCTTGTGCATGCATGGTAGTATCATCATCATGGCCTGGCCAATCAAGATTGATGAAGACTCCAAACCTAGATGAAGACCAGGTGAAGAATAAAACACAAAGTAATTAGGGGGACCTTGGCCATTGTATTGTGAGAGAAAGGCAAGAGTGATGCCTACTCTGTTTAAAAGTAGTGCTGATGTGAGACAGATGGAATAGTTGAGCGCTCTACATGCCTGTTCGATTGCGGTGTTCGAGGCAATCGTGGCACCCATGGGATAATTTCACCTCTTACCACCTTTCTCCAAATGTACGGTTCTAACGGCCTCCCCACTGTTGCTATGTGACATTATTATGTTTGTTAATGGACTAAATGCAATTTCTCCTGCGCTCCGGGACCCAGGCCGGTGGTGAGTAGATCAAATCCCAACAAAACAACCACCGGGGCATACAAGGTCGTGCAGCTCCAAACCAAGGCTGGGGAAGCCCAAACAGAACGGTGAAGTAAAACAAGAAGAAGCGCACCAACCTTGCGCATTACCTCAGTAACCAAATTTATTTAGTAAAAGAATGGTACTCACAAACAGCGAATAAAAACAGGCATGCAAGTCCTCCCAGGGGCTTCAAAGGCAAGAGGCCAGCGCGAATCCCATCATGGGGGTGGACACTCAGTACAGCTGACATGTTTCAAAGGTCATGCCTTCTTCCTCAGAGCTCTTGCCTTTGAAGCCCCTGGGAGGACTTACATGCCTGTTTTTATTCGCTGTTTGTGAGTACCATTCTTTTACTAAATAAATTTGGTTACTGAGGTAATGCGCAAGGTTGGTGCGCTTCTTCTTGTTTTACTTCACATTATTATGTTTGTTACCATGCAGATTTCACCATCAATGTGCTCCCTCTTTCATTTACGGTTTGTGTGTGTGTGTATATATATATATATATATATATAATTATATTATATATATATATATGTGTGTGTGTCTGTGTGTGTGAAAACCAATAAAAATTGGTCTTGAGAACGCCCTGTAGGTGCGGCGAAACGCGTCGACGCACTTCCAGTCTGCCGTCCCGTGTCACTTCCAGTGAGTGGAACGCACGCCGAGCGGTGCGTTCCAAGCGGCCATTTTGACTATTGTTTGGATTTGTATCCTGTCATCCCTTGCTGAACCAGGCTGTGAGGTCTCTGCAATGAGGTGTGGAAGCTGTGGAAATTGTGAGCCTATGGAGGCAATAAAATGAAGCTTCTGATAAATGTGAGTGGTCTGGTAATATTTTTTTTAACAGTACATCAGTTATTAGCAGTATTATACATTTCTTTTCCTTGCACTCCTGTGGAGTTTTGTGAGAGGATAAGGCAGGAGCGAGTGGAGGAAATACCCCAAGTTCTATAGGGTGGTAAGGAGTCCTGAAGGCTTAGAGGGGGCATAGGATCCCTATACATCCTAAAAGGTGCAATACTCACCTTCATCTGGTTAATGCGGCTGATATTGGTTTTTTCACTGGTGATTGGTGGAAGCACTATCTTGTTTTGGACATTTGATTTTTTTCACCATTTGGTTGGGAAGCAAGGACTTTTTTTTTTATATATATATATATATATTTTTTTTTTTTTTGATTTGGACATTTCTTTGAATTCTTATGTTTTTGAGGGGTACCTTTATTGATTTTGTTTTTCACTTCTAGGTTATTAAATCATTGATTGAAGGTGTTGATTTGCGCTGTTTTTTTTTTTTTTCATATTTCGGTTCAAATTACCTGTGCACAGCAGCAATCTATACCTGGGTGCAAGCTTTAGAGTTACTCCTGTGCGCTGGGGTTGTGTGTATACTTAAAAAAAAAAAAAATGGTTAATATACAGTCATGGCCGAAATTGTTGGCACCCTTGATATTTTTCCTGAAAATCAAGTATTTCACACAAAAAAGGTATTGCATTAACACATGTTTTGCTATACACATGTTTTATTCCCTTTGTATGTATTGGAACAAATATAAAACAGAGGCAGAAAAGCAAATATGACATAATGTCACACAAAACCCCAAAAATGGGCTGGACAAAAGTATTGGCACCCTTAACTTAATATTTGGTTGCACACCCTTTTGGAAAACATAACTGAAATCAGTCGCTTCCTATAACCATCAATAAGCTTCTGACACCTCTCACCCGGAATTTTGGACCACTCTTCCTTTGCAAACAGCTCCAGGTCTCTCTTATTGGAAGGACACCTTTTCCCAACAGCAATTTTAAGATCTCTCCACAGGTGTTCAATGGGATTTAGATCTGGGCTCATTGCTGGCCACTTCAAAACTCTCCAGCGCTTCTTTGCCATCCATTTCTGAGTGCTTTTTGACGTATGTTTGGGGTCATTGTCCTGCTGGAAGACCCAGGATCTTGGACGCAAACCCAGCTTTCTGACACTGGGCCCTACAGTGCGACCCAAAATCCTTTGGTAATCCTCAGATTTCATGATGCCTTGCACACAGTCAAGGCACCCAGTGCCAGAGGCAGCAAAACAACCCCAAAACATCATTGAACCTCCACCATATTTTACCGTAGGTACTGTGTTTTGTTCTTTGTAGGCCTCATTCCGTTTTCGGTAAACAGTAGAATGATGTGCTTTACCGAAAAGCTCTATCTTGGTCTCATCTGTCCACAAGACGTTTTCCCAGAAGGCTTTTGGCTTACTCAAGTACATTTTGGCAAACTGTAGTCTTGCTTTTTTATGTCTCTGTGTCAGCAGTGGGGTCCTCCTGGGTCTCCTGCCATAGCGTTTCATTTCATTTAAATGTCGACGGATAGTTCGCGCTGACACTGATGCTCCCTGAGCCTGCAGGACAGCTTGAATGTCTTTGGAACATGTTTTGGGGCTGCTTATCCACCATCCGGACTATTCTGCGTTGCAATCTTTCATCAATTTTCCTCATCCGTCCACGACCAGGGAGATTAGCTACAGTGCCATGGGTTGCAAACTTCTTGATAATGTTGCGCACTGTGGACAAAGGCAAATCTAGTTCTCTGGAGATGGACTTGTAACCTTGAGATTGTTGATATTTTGCCACAATTTTGGTTCTCAGGTCCTCAGACAGTTCTCGTCTCCTCTTTCTGTTGTCCATGCTTAGTGTGGCACAGACAGACACACAATGCAAAGGTTAAGTGAACGTCTCTCCTTTTTTTATCTGCTTTCAGGTGTGATTTCTATATTGCCCACACCTGTTACTTGCCCCAGGTGAGTTTACAGGAGCATCACATGCTTGTAACATTCTTATTTATCCGCAGTTGTGAAAGGGTGCCAATACTTTTGTCCAGCCCATTTTTGGAGGTTTGTGTGACATTATGTCGAATTTGCTTTCTTTCCTCCCTTTTTTTGTTTTGTCCCAATACACACAAAGGGAATAAACATGTGTTATAGCAAAACATGTGTTAAATGCAATACGTTTCGTGAGAAATACATGATTTCCTGGAGAAATATCAAGGGTGCCAACAATTTCGGCCATGACTGTATATAGAAAAAAAAAAAAAAAAAAAAAGTGCCATAACACACAAATATTTCTCAGCATACTTGCACATTATGGCAAAGGCTCCTGGGGGCTCCAACCTTCCAGCACATTTTAGTTCCATTTTATGTCAACTGTAGAACAAGCACATGAAGAAACAAGGACCTAAAGGAGAGGCTAAAAATTAATTCAGTCAAAGATTTGCTATAAGCCCTCCAAAGCAGAAGACGGAAAGTGCGCCTTAAATACCAACATGAGCGCAGTAGACTACGCCGAGTGTATTGAAGGTCTAAAACCAACCAAGCAAGTGACAAATCTAAAACCGGCACCAAACCACGCCCGAAATAAGAAAACGAAGCAGAACACCACATGGTACTAAATAAATTGTTACAGTAGTAGTAAAAAGTTGTATAAAAAACAATAACTATAGTACAGAGTATCCATTTCACCTATATTGTCAACAAAAGTTTTATATATAAAAAAATAAATACACTTCTGGGCATTTCCTGCCATACTGTTGATCGTTCCCAGGCGCCCAGAAAAAAATGAATCAAAAAGGATAGGAGCAGCCGCACTTCGAAGACTCATTTCACCTACAAGGTCGGAGGTCTTCCTCTACCATTAAGCCCAGCCTTGGGGTTATGTGTCAGAGGAGGAGGTCCCAAATGGGACACTGTTCATGCTGTCCAGATCAATAAAGTTACCAGTGTTTGAAATTTTCTTTGCAGTGCAGCTGGACTTTTCATTTGGATTAGGGCACTCTGTGGGGGATAGGATGAGCTCCTGCTGGCGTTTAGCACACGATCATCCACAAGGATGACCCGATTCAGGGCTCGGGAGCAGCGTACCAAAAAGTGAATATCTCTGTAAAGAATAATTCAAAAATTTAAATGGAAATACGGTCAAAATTTCCTGAGGGGCACTAAAAACATTTTATTGTCCCATAATTACTGAAACACAAGTTAGTCCAGTATTAAAAGGCAGATTTTAACATTCACAAATCTGTTTGCCAACGCACAGAAATTTAGGAAATGCAATTGTTTAAACAGCAGATTATTCTGAAGAAGTCATTTTTTGAAAAGGTCAAATTCAGTTCCCAAGGTTTCTGAAGGCCTAGTTCACATGGGTGTACAGATCTGTATGCTCATGCAAAGAGCAGTCTTCAGGTGCCTGAGATGCACAGGAGTTCTGTGAAGGGGGTAAGCAGCCTGTTCGGATCAATGATAGATGACCGGCTGCACAGACCTGCATGGATCTCCAGGCACAACCTGGGGTGCGCATCCATGCAGGTCCAGTGCACAAATCAGAACACAGTGGTGTTGATTTACTAAAGCCGGAAAGTGTAAGATCTCATGCAGCTGTGCATAGTAGCCAGTCAGCTTCTACCTTTGACAATAAAACCTGGAAACTGATTGGTTTCTATACAGAGCTGCACCAGATTTTGCACTCTCCAGTATTAATAAATCAACCCCAGTCTGTGTCCTGAGCCGTGTATTGGACCCGCACAGATGTACAATACAGGATGTGCTTGAGAATCCATGCAGGTCTGTGCATCCAGCTGCCTGTCATTGATCTGAACAGGCTGCCCCGCACAATGAACGGACCTCCTGCGCATCCAAAGCGGTTGATGGTGGCCCTTCGCAAAGGCATACAGACTGGTACACCCATGTGAGTGAGGCCAAAGGGTCCCACAAGAAATGTAACAATACTGATGGCATCAGCATGTCAAGCTAGCGGAACACTGAGGGGATTTACTAAATTTGAAGAGTGCAAAATCTGGTGCAGCTCTGCAAAGAAATCAATCAGCTTTCAGGTTTTGTAAAAAATTAAAGTGTCATTAAAACCCCGACTATGAAAAACTCTCATTACATGATATAGAACAGAGTGTGCATGCTGAAAGCCACTAAAGTTTTTTTTGTTTTGTATAGAGTGAAATATACCTGGCTGATCCTGCCTTCAGCTGTCCCTCCCATCTTCTCTGTGTCCCCATTTCAGCCTGAGATTGCCAATTGGCTACCATGTACAGCTGCACCAGATTTTGCAACCTTCAGTTTTAGTGAGCCAACCCCCCCACTGTATCAACTTTTTATTCATTAGAAAATTTCGGTATATTAACGTCTAATCGGCAAGCACATTAAAAGATGATAAAAATGTATCTTTGTCCATTCACTTGGTTTTTAAAAGCGCAAATTGTAAAATAACTGTACTACTTACAAACATTGGGGGTGGATTTACAAAAGCAGAGTGCAAAATATTCTGCAACTCTGCATAGAAACCAATCAGCTTCCAGGTTTTATTGCCAAAGCCTATCGGAACAAACATGAAGATAGATGCTGATTGGCTACCATGCACAGCTGCACCAGATTCTGAGTGCTCCAGTTTTAGTATATCAACTCCAATGGCTTTCTTGAACTGTGGCAAACACATCTGACAATGTTACTCTTAGCTCTTTTATATAAACTGACTTGTGGGTATTTTAGGTTTGGTGGACAAGAAAAGCTGTTCGCAAAAAAAGCTTCTTTTATTGCCAACAAGGGGGCAGATATTTATTGTATAAAGGGTGGGGGTGGGGTGAGGTAGCTGGTCATGGAACAGTTACCTTCCATGTTATCTATCTGAAAGTCTGGTAACAGTTCAGAGACCGCTGAGGTTTTACCTACGGGACAAAAGAAAGACACGTTACCAAACAGAGATTTGTGCCAAAAATAAGCGAATTATAAAAAGGGGTACAATTACATCAACTGGAGAAAAAAAAAATCCCTATGCAAAAACAAAAAAAAAAAAAAAAAAAAAACCTGACAGGTAATACAGAATATTAGGATCTGAAATATTTCAACAGAGGGGATATTTTTTAAAAATGTTTTCTGTATCATATGTGGTTTTATCATGTCTTTTACCAAACTTGCATTGTACTTTTTATTAGAAATCCTCAAATCTGCTCAAATCTTACCAAAAGCACCAAATGAAAATCACTTCACCTTTCTGGAAAGCAACCGCTAGATGGCAGCGTTACTACATCGACTAAGACAAGCAAACTTCATTTTCAAGTATTTATGACGGGTATTTAGTCCTGGTTCACATACAGTTGCAAGAAAAAGTATGTGAACCCCTTGGGATTACGTGGAGTTTTGCATGAATTGGGCATAAAATGTGCTCTGAACGTCATCTAAGTCACAACAATAGAAGAACACAGTCTGCTGAACATAATACTACACAAACATTAGATGTTGCCATGGTTTAATTGCACATAACATGTAAACATTCACAGTGCAGGGAGGAAAAAGTATGTGAACCTTTGGACGTAATAACTGGTTGACCCTCCTTTGGCAGCAATAACCTCAACCAAACGTTTCCTGTAGTTGCAGATCAGACCTGCACAACGATCTGGAGTCATTTTGGACCACTCCTCTTCACAAAACTGTTTCAGTGTAGCAATATTCTTGGGATGTCTGGTGTGAATCGCTCTCTTAGGTCATGCCACAGCATTTCGATCGGGTTGAGGTCAGGACTCTGACTGGGCCACTCCAGAAGGCGTATTCTGTGATGTTGCAGCCATTGTTTTGTTGAATGACTTGTATGCTTTGGGTCATTGTCCTGTTGCATCACCCATCCTCTGCGGAGCTTCAGTTGGCGGACAGATGGTCGTACGTTTTCCTGCAAAATGTCTTGATAAACTCTGGAATTCATTTTCCCATCAATGACAACAATCCGTCCAGGCCCTGAGGCAGCAAAGCAGCCCCAAACCATGATGCTCCCTCTGCCATGTTTTACAGTGGGGATGAGGTTTTGATGTTGGTGTGCTGTGCCTTTTTTTTCTCCACACATAGTGTTGTGTGTTCTTCCCAAACAACTCAATCTTGGTTTCATCTGTCCACAGTATATTTTGCCAGTAGTGCTGTGGAACATCCAGGTGCTCTTTTGCAAACTTCAAACGTGCTGCAATATTCTTTTTTGGACAGCAATGGCTTCCTCCGTGGTGTCCTCCCATGTACTCCATTCTTGTTTAATGTTTTCCTTATTGTAGATGTGTCAACAAAAATGTTAGCATGTGCCAGAGATTTCTGTAGGTCTTTAGCTGACACTCTGGGATTCTTCTTTACCTCATGCAGCATTCTGCGCTGTGCTCTTGCAGTCATTTTTACAGGACGACCACGCCTAGGGAGAGTAGCAACAGTGCTAAACTTTCTCCATTTGTAGACAGTCTGTCTTACCGTGGACACATGAACATCAAGGCTTTTGGAGATACTTTTGTAACCCTTTCCAGCTTCATGCAAGTCAACAATTCTTGATGGTAGGTCTTCTGAGAGCTCTTTTCTGCGAGGCATGGTTCACATCAGACAGTGCTTCTTGAAACCAGTAAAGCCAAAACAGGTGTGTGTTTTTTTAAGGGCAGGACAGCTGTCAGCAACACATCCAATATCATCACACTGATTGGAGTCAAGGTTGGCTCACTCCTGGCTCCAATTAGTTCTGGGAGAAGTCATTAAGCTAGGGCCTCACATACTTTTTCCTCCCTGCACTGTGAATGTTTACATGTTATGTGCAATTAAACCATGGCAACATCTAATGTTTGCATAGTATTATGTTCAGCAGACTGTGTTCTTCTATTGTTGTGACTTAGATGACGTTCAGAGCACATTTTATGCCAAATTCATGCAAAACTCCACGTAATCCCAAGGGGTTCACATACTTTTTCTTGCAACTGTATATGTATTTGGCGCGGGCACGAGAGCCCATTCATTTGAATGGACTTCCGTGCCACGCAGAGAAGAAGTCACTGCACTTCTTCTGAGACTGCAGCCTGCACGGAAACCTTGGTTCCCAATACGGTCGTGTTTTCCAGTGCGGGCGGCGTGCCATTAGAACTAGTGGCACCCGCCTGCAGGTTCGCAGTGGAAGGAGCCTATACGACCGAACGTTCTGACGTCATATCAGGCGCGCGGGCGCCATCTTGGTGCTCCTTTGCCTGAATGCAGTACACCCTTTGAGTGGTGTGAAGGCATGTTTGTAATGAATGAGCAAGTGAGTAGATCTCTGGTTTTATTATTGATCTATTAAAGCGGTTTTACACTATGTAAATTCTTTTTGCCTTATTGGTGACCACTTGGGAGGGGTATTTATCGATACCACCAACGATCCGAGATAAGAGACAAGAGGAGGGGAGTCCCACCATTATTACCTGAAGGACCCACCATCTGAAGGATCCATCCAATTCCAGGGGAAAGACCCATTATATACCAAAAGGCTCATTGGTCCTTAGGGGCCTGGGCAGGAAGGTGAGGGGGCACTCCACCTATCTGAGGATTGGCACCTGCAGTTCACACCTGCATGATATCTTATGCACATGGACACTATTCACTGTATTGTGTTTTAAGTCAATATAGTGCACGAGAAGTTTCTTGAGTGTATGATACCACCAGCTTATTATTTTCTATATGTGTTATGGCTGCCTGGGCTATATAATATACGGTGGTGAAAGGGTTAAAGTAAAAGTAATTTGATGCAACATTTTTCTTCTGGTTTGAGCGCCGCACTGCTTTACACTTTAAATTTTCCATTAGAACTAGTGGCACCCGCCCGCAGGTTCGCATTCCTCTGTGTGGGTGGTGCGGCTGCACGGATTTTCATGCGAATCCGCAGCGGCACCACCAGCACAGATGTGAACCTAGCCTTACAGTATAGAGCGCTGAAAATGTACACACCACTTTACATACTTACCATTCACATCAGTCCCTGCCCTCAAAGAGCTTACAATCTAAGGTCTTTATTTCACATGAATACACACACACTTGGGTACAAAGTCTGAGCCGAGACTGAGGCAGGACAAGCTCACTGTCAACTGCTCAGATTATCATACAAAAGAGGATCTGTTGCATGATGGAAGCAGACAAGGTTTTAAACACAAATTAGTCAAAGTCCTTAAAAATTAAAATCTACATTTTGTTGCTCGTCCCTATGGTAAACCAGCTTGAAAGAACGGTGATAAATCACTGTGTGAATAGTCAGTAAACATGTACATTACCAAATTAGTAATGCCAATAGGATGCCTGCCAGGAAAGGCATTAGTCACATGTTTGAATCAGATAAAAATAAATTCCACCCGGGGACAACTCCACCTATCTCACTTCCATTAGTATTCAGAAAAAATGAGCTTTAAAAGGTTTTTAAAAGTGGTTCTAAAAGTTTAGGTTTTTAAAAATTTGCAACTACCATCTAACTTTACATTTTTAAAATGTAAAGTTTTGCATCTGCCATCTTTTTATTCTTTAGGTCCTCAGCCACACTGGAGTACTTGTAGGGTACAAAAGGGAGGGTGCCACAGTTTGAACTTTGTGTTCTGAGGGCTGCCATGGTGGGCTGGAGAGGAAGTTAAGAGTCTGGGACCCATTTGAATCATGGGAGGTAAGAGTCTTAAATGCAGGTGTATCTATGAAGGGAACTAAGGGGTTCCAGAGCTCATTATATTGGTCTTGACCAGGGGTAGGCAACCTGCGGCTCTCTAGCTGTTGTTGAACTAGAGGCATTCCCATGAGGCATTGCAAAGATTACAAAACTGACAGTTACAGCTATGACTTGCAGAGGCATGATGGAACTTGTAGTCCTGCGGCTCTCAGGTTGCCTACCCCTGGTCTTGACAATCATAGAAGTAGGCCATTGGATTATCCATTCTCATCGACCCAATCCTTTATCTGTGGGACAGTGGGAGATCTTTCATACCTGGGGGAACCCCACGGAAAGGAGGAGCCAGGAGAGCCTACGGGGGGACCCCAGAAGAGGAAGATCCAGGTTGCTCTGTGCAAAACCACTGCACACAGCAGGTAAGTAAAGACATGTTTGTTATTTACCAAAAAGAGAAAAAAAAAAAAAAAAAAAGGTTTAGTATCACTTTAAATGTCACTTTATACACCTCTTCATGCAAAGCAGAATTCTTCAATTCTTTTTTGAAGCGTCCAGGGGCAGTTTATGTATGTTTTACTCACAGAATAGAATATTTCTGAAACACCCTGATAGTCTTACCCAGTACCAGCAGTTCAGCGTAAGCCTCATTGTTCCCCGAGAGATCCTGAGCAGAGAATACGGTGCAATAATAAACTCCGCTGTCTCCCCATGCGGTCTGATCAATTGAGAGATCTGCATCTGCAAACATACAAGAATCACAACATTACAGGAGGCTCTCAAAAGTTAAAGCAGAAAATTTAAAATGAAGTTTGGTCTCGTTCACACGGGGCATTGTGCAGCAAACACTCATGCGAGGGCCCATATCCCCCCGTCCTTGTACTTAGAAGGGCTGCCACTGGTAACCATGGCAGGTGATAAGAAGGAATGTTTCTAAGGTCACAATCTATGCTGATGCAAGGCCTGCGTTTATCCGCCCTGCGCGCTCCCAGCACACAACCGCTTCTCACGGAAAGGTCCTGGTCTTCTCTTTCGATCGGGACCTTTCCCAATCATGTGACCGCTGTGACGGCGCGGCACAGCAGTCACATGATCCCTAAACCCCGCCCATCCCGCCTCCTGAAACTATTAAAAGGCCAGGAGGCGCCGGCGTGAAGGGGTTAATCTTGCACTTCTCTCAATATGGGTCTTTTAGATCTGATTTTAAAATGTTACATTTCCAAATTGTACTACATAGCCAAAACAAAAGCTACACAAAAAACAGAAAAAAAAACACCACCTACTGTTATTAATAGTGATTTTTCGTCCCTGGTAGAAGTCACCCAGAGTGACTGTGTTGCCTTGCTTGGTGGCCACAATGCGGATTGTACGGCTGCTGTCCTGGCACTCCACGTATGGATTGTACCCAGGATTGGCAGCCTGCAGCTGACTATTGATCTGGGTGTCCTGGCTGGTGGGGTTGAAAGCATCAGCGATGCGATCCCTGCAGAACGATTTGTACTTCCAGGTTACGATTGGAGGCTGCAAAGAAGAGGTCTGGTAATTGCACTGTAGAGTCACCGACTGGAATAAGATCACCACATTGAAAGGATTCTTCACAGTCACAGTCATTCCAGTGATGCTTCCTAGGAGACAGAAAATGAGAAAATGAAAACTGTGCAGTTCACAACATACAAAAGGACATACATACGGAAGAAGGTAGGAAGCAATAGAAGATCTCCTCAAAGTGAAGGCACAGCATACATCTGACCACTGACACCAAGACAGGTGACCACATTGATAGATGATCACTCTACTCCTGTGTCAGTGACCAACGTGATTGTTTTAGATTTCCTCTCAATTTCTAGCTCAATCAAAAGATACACCACCAATGGAATTAAACCCGACCCTATATCCCCGTCCACACTATGGAAAACCAAAGCACATTTTAGTTTGAGTTTTCTTCATATTTATGGTATTTTAAATTGCCCAACTAAGCTGCTCAAAAGTGCAATACTTCTGATACAACTTGGATAATATCAGCCTCTGTCAACCATTTAACAAGGATGTGTAGGAATCCTTGAAATAACTTTCAGGTGTCAGAGAAGCGAATACTTCCTATATCCCACATAGCAGCTACCTGGGATTTCTCCAGAGGTTGCAAAAGATTTCTTTAGCTGTAACCGACTGACCTCCCATTTGATGGCCCCTTCATTGGTCCGGGTCAACGCCACCTCTATAAACCCAATGATCTTTTTAGGTGTCTGTAAGGGGGCATGCCGATCACCACTGTAAGGGGGACAATCTTCTCACGGTCCAGGAATGCAGAGAGTATTTTTCCCACTAGCCATCAATTTAAAGAGCATTCTTCCCACTAGCCATCAATATAAAAGGGGTACTTTTTGCCCACTGACCACCAATTGTTTAAGCGGGGATTCCCCGAGAACTGAAATTACTTCAAGGATTGCTCTGGGGTAAAAAAGGTTTAGAAAGACTGCCTAACAGTACATAAAAGGGAAGATGATATCTATCTATCTATATATATATATATATATATATATATATATATATAAAAGTTGCATACTTAGCTGACATCTAGGCTGCTTTATACAGTAAAATAATCTTCATTAATTATAATGAACACAGCACATCATACCGACCAGACAAGAAAGAGAGACAGTGAAAATTGGAGCGATCCCTCACATGATCAATGGAGAAACACCCCCCTGTTCAGGGAAAAGCCCATTACGCTGGCGGTCAGCGGGAAGAACGCCCTTTACGCTGGCGGTCAGCGGGAAGAACGCCCTTTACGCTGGCGGTCAGCGGGAAGAACGCCCTTTACGCCGGCGGTCAGCGGGAAGAACGCCCTTTACGCTGGCGGTCAGCGGGAACAACGCCCTTTACGCTGGCGGTCAGCGGGAAGAACGCCCTTTACGCTGGCGGTCAGCGGGAAGAACGCCCTTTTACGCTGGCGGTCAGCGGGAACAACGCCCCTTACTCTGGCGGTCAGCGGGAAGAACGCCCTTACTCTGGCGGTCAGCGGGAAGAACGCCCTTTACGCTGGCGGTCAGCGGGAACAACGCCCTTTACGCTGGCGGTCAGCGGGAAGAACGCCCCTTACTCTGGCGGTCAGCGGGAAGAACGCCCCTTACTCTGGCGGTCAGCGGGAAGAACGCCCCTTACTCTGGCGGTCAGCGGAAGAACGCCCCTTACTCTGGCGGTCAGCGGGAAGAACGCCCCTTACTCTGGCGGTCAGCGGGAAGAACGCCCCTTACTCTGGCGGTCAGCGGGAAGAACGCCCCTTACTCTGGCGGTCAGCGGGAAGAACGCCCCTTACTCTGGCGGTCAGCGGGAAGAACGCCCCTTACTCTGGCGGTCAGCGGGAAGAACGCCCCTTACTCTGGCGGTCAGCGGGAAGAACGCCCCTTACTCTGGCGGTCAGCGGGAAGAACGCCCCTTACGCTGGTGGTCAGTGGGAAGAACGCCCCTTACTCTGGTGGTCAGTGGGAAGAATGCCCTTTACGCTGGTGGTCAGTGGGAAGAATGCTCCTTACACTGGTGGTCAGTGGGAAGAATGCTCCTTACACTGGTGGTCAATGGGAAGAATGCTCCTTACATTGGTGGTCAGTGGGAAGAATGCCCTTTACGCTGGTGGTCAGTGGGAAGAATGCTCCTTACCCTGGTGGTCAATGGGAAGAATGCTCCTTACATTGGTGGTCAGTGGGAAGAATGCCCCTTACACTGGTGGTCAATGGGAAGAATGCCCCCTTTAAGGCCCCTAATAAATTCCTTGACATCAGTAGTTAATTGAGTCACTGATCACTGCTGAAAAAAAACCCCTAATGTTCCTCGTCACCATGGTTGAAAAAGACCGGATTATACACGTCAGTTATGCACTACAGCTGCAATACAGAAGAGCTGTCAGCGGGTGGCACTGCAGCTCAGGTGACTGGCGGGGAAGAAGGCGGACCCCAGGTGTCCTCTCCTCATTATACTCCCTCTGAGCTCACATCCTGCCCTCCTGAAGAGTTCTTATCCACCAGAGAATGGCAGCCCCTGCCTCTCCCCTCCCCCTGGGCCAGTCTCAGCCCTGATCAAAACTCCCCCCCCCCCCCAACACCGAAACAAACAGGCAGGAGCGTCATCGGGAGCGCATCCAGCAAATACCTGCCTGGGTGATACAATGAGTAACAAGAGGATGTGATGCAGAGTTTACACAGTGAGAAAAAATGAACGGCAGCAACTGAGTAACAGAGAAAAAAAAACAATCACTGGACATGCTGAAAGCTTTGGAAACATTGTATTTGTATCATACCAAGGAGGAACACATACCGTACAGGCTACAAGTTCACCAAAATGTTACTTTGTTGCAATGACAGATCCCAGGGTCACATTATAAGTTTCATACAACCATCCAACCCGTGTACTGCTAGAGGCCGACAGTCTCCAGCACGTGTGTACATTTGCGTCATGCGTGTTACACACACCGCCGACATTCCATCTTCCACCTGTCACTATGGCGGAGCTCTCCTGAAAATGCCGGCTGCTTGGCTGGCCTCTAGTTTCAATACTTTGAATCCCTAACTGAAAAAAACATATAAAAAGAGCAGGGGCGGGCTGACCATTTGGAATGTCGGGCGCTGCCCGAGGGCCCGGGGTCAGTAGGGGGCCCCATGAGATGCCCCTGGTACCTTTTTCATAGGCTTTTTTGAGTTTGGGCAAGGATGTTTACATCCATTTACATCTGTTTTTCATCCGTTTAGATACATTTACATCCATTTAGATCTGTTTACATCTGTTTTTGATCAGTTTACATCCGTTTTTCATCCATTTAGATCCATTTACATCCATTTTTTGGTTGGTTTACATCTGTTTAGATCCATTTACATTCGTTTTAGGTCGATTTACATCCGTTTACATCCGATGACATCCGTTTTTTCATCCGTTCCATTTTTTTTTTTTTGAAGAAAAATAGGGCTTTCTTCCTTTCAAAAAAAACGAATGTTAACTGATATAAATGGGCGATCATCCGTTTACATCAGTTAGTCCACAGAAATACATGGATGTCCCTTTTTCATCCTTAAACGGACAGATGAAAAAACGGGCGCCGTGTGAAATGAGCCCAAACAAGGGCGGACTGACCATTTGGAGACTCAGGCACTGCCCGAGGGCCCCGGGGTCAGTAGGGGGCCCCATGAGATGCCCCTGGTACCTTTTTCATAGGCTTTTTTGAGTGTGGGCAAGGACACAGGGGCCCCATGATCCCCTATTGCCCGGGGGCCCCATGAGTTGTCAGTCCGCCCATGAAAGACTTCGCAGTTATTTCTGACTGGACAGCAAAGTTTAAAGGGCGGTCTCACTCTGCTGCGCTGCGGTTTGGCCACGGCACAGATGTCGCTGCAGTTTTTACATATTCCTACCTGCGGTTTTAGTCGAGGTCCCGTAGACTTTCAATCAGGTCACGCGGGTTCTGAAAGCGCACCATGGATGCAGCATGTAGGACTTTTGGTGCGCTTTTGTAAAACGTGCGACCTGATAGAAACGGGCAGTGCAGGGCTGCCGTCGGAAACTACGGGGCCCCGTACAGCCAACGTGACAGTGCGTCCAAATCAACAAAAGCTTACAGCTATGAATGAACACAGTGACTGATTGGTACCAATCATGCATTGTGTTCATTCAGGAAAGGAAGGGACTGGTAAATGTGACATATTTACAAACTCTTCCCCCCACTCTTCATCCTAAGGATCCTAACTGTGTGTTTGCAGTTGGGTAGGAGAGAAGAGAAAGGGGTGGGGGGCACAATGGGGGGGGGGGGGGCATGGGCAGCATGAGGAAATGTATGGTACATTTGGAGGTGCTGCAGAGAGAGCCATACAGGGGATCAGTTCCAGTAATTGCCCCCCCCCTCCCCCTCCACTGTCATGATCTTCCTCCATGCCCACATCTGATTCACCCGGCTGCCTGGGCCCCCCTGCTGGTCTGGGCCCTGTACAGGAGGACCAGTGGTACCCCCTTATCCAAGGCCCTGATGACATGTTTCTTATTAAAATAAAAAATAAAAAAAAAAAAAAGGTTGCACGAATGGAAACAAAGCCTTAGGATCACTAACACATTTCACCCCAGAGACAGGCTTCGTTCTATGGTGAAACAAGACCAGGGGCGGACTGACCATTTGGAAATTCGGCGCTGCCCGAGGGCCCGGGGTCAGTAGGGGGCCCCATGAGATGCCCCTGGTACCTTTTTCATAGGCTTTTTTGAGTTTGGCCAAGGATACAGGGGCCCCATGATCCCCTATTGCCCGGGGGCCCCATGAGTTGTCAGTCCGCCCCTGAATGCGTCCGTTATGATTCCATAATAGTTTATGAACATGCTGATATCAGTGTGCGGCCAGTCTTGCGATTCAGCCTTCTATGGGAAATGTGGACGCGCTCCGTCCTGCCGGCACCCGCTCTCCTTGGACACTGCCATGTATGTAAGCTGGTGATTGGAGATTTTTCTGTCTCCCAGTTGCGATTCATGGCGGTCACGCAGTTCCCAATGTGCTGCTCAGTCACCAGCAATGGTGGAATTGGATCCGTAGCGGACTCTGTGCCATGTGAAGGGAGAAGCAAGACTCAGAGGTCCCCGTGCAGTGCAGCACCTCACCAGTGGTGCCGAATCTCCATCTCCAGATGGAGGGTGACCCCTTGCTGGCTCAGGAGACCAAAGGGGAGCAACGTGCAAGGCCCAACAGGAAAGGGGCAACAGATGGGACCCTCCCCCATCAACCCCACAATGGCATTCAGGACAACAAATAGCGTATACCTAGAGGAAGACGGGGCCCCGGAGGGCCAACAGCTGGACCAGATGCCTGGATGAGTTCAAGCAGACAGGACTCTGGGGAACCATGAGCGCGGGAGGGCTCAACAAGAGTCAAAACAACATCTGAATGGTTTCCCCTTATGCAGGCCATAGACTGTTCGTTTATTGGACGATTTTTCGTTCTAAAGAATAATCGGACGATTTTCGCACTGTTAGCGGGGCAACGGCGTGGGCCCATTTTCGCACTGTTAGCGGGGCAACGGACGATTTTCGCACTGTTAGTGGGGCAACGGCGTCGGCCCATTTTCGCACTGTCAGTGGGGCAATGGCGTCGGCCCATTTTCGCACTGTCAGTGGGGCAACGGCGTCGGCCCATTTTCGCACTGTCAGTGGGGCAACGGCGTCGGCCCATTTTCGCACTGTCAGTGGGGCAACGGCGTCGGCCCATTTTCGCACTGCAGCGGGGCAATGGCGTCGGCCCATTTTCGCACTGTCAGTGGGGCAACGGCGTCGGCCCATTTTCGCACTGTCAGTGGGGCAACGGCGTCGGCCCATTTTCGCACTGTTAGTGGGGCAACGGCGTCGGCCCATTTTCGCACTGTTAGTGGGGCAACGGCGTCGGCCCATTTTCGCACTGTTAGTGGGGCAACGGCGTCGGCCCATTTTCGCACTGTTAGTGGGGCAACGGCGTCGGCCCATTTTCGCACTGTTAGCGGGGCAACGGCGTCGGCCCATTTTCGCACTGTCAGTGGGGCAACGGCGTCGGCCCATTTTCGCACTGTCAGTGGGGCAACGGCGTCGGCCCATTTTCGCACTGTTAGTGGGGCAATGGCGTCGGCCCATTTTCGCACTGTTAGTGGGGCAATGGCGTCGGCCCATTTTCGCACTGTTAGTGGGGCAATGGCGTCGGCCCATTTTCGCACTGTCAGTGGGGCAATGGCATTGGACGATTTTCTCAGTTCCTCCTCATTTCTTTTATCGGTCATGCTGGAATATTTGTGAAAAACTGAAAATTTTCGCAATCATTGGTGGCAGCATCGGTTTACAGAACGGCCGATGTTTCGTTTTTAGAACGAAAAATCGGCTGATAAACGAACCGTCTATGGCCTGCATTTTTCCTATGGAAAAAAAAAATAGGGAAGGGGAAGCAAGATGCATAAAATCTTCCATCTTGTTATGGAACCCAGCCTTGCAACCTACTAGGACCACCGTCCCTGAGAGCATGGGGAAGCATGGAACGGAGGGGTCCCTGTAACAGAGCAAATAACAAATGTTACATTGTTCCCATTAGGTGGGACCCCCTCCGTCCTCAAGCACAGGGGGGGCGCCCTGTCTCCTCTGTGACTACCTGCTTCTATACTTTTTTTTTCGGTGGATGAAGCATTTCCTGTTTTCGGTGGATGGAGCCTCTCATGCTGTCCTGGAAGAGAAGGACTGGCGTGACGCAGTCCTTACAGAACACAAGCCGGCTTCTCCTTCCATCCGATGTCACAGGGAAGGGAAAGGAGAGAACCTCTGTCAGTTTTTATTGCTGTACCAGATGAGAAGTCGTGTTCCTGAGGCCTCATTCACAGGGTCACCCGGAGCACAGACAGCTATACGCCCACATGGGGGGTCAAACCGAGAGCAGCGGCCGTGTCCCAAATGGCATGAATTGGGATGGCACACATCACCTGTCTGGGGGAGGACATCGCCGCTCACTTCCTGTGTCGGGGGGGGGATTATCCCTTGCCCCTCTTGCTTACTGCGTCATGGGGGGCTGTAAAAATACAAGGATGGCGGTATTTTCACCCCTGTATATACGAGGACGACAAGGGCCCCTGTATACACGAGGACGATGGTGGCTGGGGCCCCTGTATACACGAGGACGATGGTGGCTGGGGCCCCTGTATACACGAGGACAGATGGTGGCTGGGGCCCCTGTATACACACGACGACGAGGGTCCCTGTATGCACGGGGACAGAGGTGACGGGGGCCCCTGTGTACACACGACGACGTGGCTGGGGTCCCTGTATGCACGGGGACGATGGTGACGGGGCCCCTGTGTACACACGACGACGAGGGTCCCTGTATGCACGGGGACAGAGTTGACGGGGGGGGGGGGCATGTATATGAGGACGAGGAGGCCTGTATACAAGGGGGACTCCTGTACACACCAGGACAAGGGTGACGGGGGCCCCTGTGTACACACCAGGACAAGGGTGACGGGGGCCCCTGTGTACACACCAGGACAAGGGTGACGGGGGCCCCTGTGTCCAGGACAACACACCAGGACAAGGGACAAGGGTGACGGGGGCCCCTGTGTACACACCAGGACAAGGGTGACGGGGGGACATGTATTTGAGGACAAGGAAACCTGTATACAAGGGGGACACCTGTACATACAAGGACGAGGGTGACGGGGGCCCCTGTACATACAAGGACGAGGGGGGGGCAGGGGCCCAGAGTAAAACAAAGTGAATATAAAACGAAAACGTTCATTATGGAGTGGTGAGAAGTCAGGATGGATTTGGGGAAGAGAAACTCACTTCCTGTAATAAATACACAACAGGAAGTGAGAAGAAATCCCCTTAGTTGTCATGGAAACAGGTGTCCCCTCTCTATTCCTGAGAGGAATGCTGTACTTCCTCTCCCCACAGGGCAGTAAATACCCTCCAGGGGCTCTCAGGTGTGGGGGAGGGGTACAGAGATGATATGGGGGAAGGGTTAAAGTTGTGTGAATGAAGTCCCCCCCCCCGTCCCGCACTCACCCGCCATGTACAGCAAACACAGGAGGAACACCGGGCCGCCCCGCGCCGCCATCTCTCCTCTACTCCTCAGGTGACTCCGCCAGGTGCGCCCAAACTCCCCCCGCGCGTCCCCGTGAGCGCTCACCCGCCTAAACCCCGCCCTCTCCCGTGCACGCCCCTTTTCCGGTCACCTGCGGCGCCTCTGTAACCCCTTCCCCGTCGCTGTGCAGTCCCAGCCCCTTCCCTGACCAATCACAGGTGTCAGCGGGCCATGCCGGGGGTCACGTGACCTGGACCAGTCCCACACAGGTCCTCCTGGAGGGGGCACACCCCCCCCCTTTAGTTTTTAACCCCTTCATCTCTGCTACCTGTACGCCCCTCCCCTCATAGACCACAGAAAGTGTCACATTTCCACTCATAGACCGACCCCCCCTCCGACTTGTCCTTAAAGTAGAACTAGGGGGGGTCAGAACCCCTGCGAGGGCTTGTTTTCTGTATCTGTGTCTCCATAGGGGAGATTTCTCTTCACTTCCTGTCCCAAAACAGGAAGTGAGAGGAAATCCCTCAAAAGTGAGCTGTCACCAGAACCAGTGTCCCCATCGGTTGATTCCCCTCTATTCCTCTTCTGGTGACAACCCGACATTTGGGGTTTTCTTTTACTTTTGGTGACAACAGTAAACGGGACAAATAGAGAGAGCGGGGATCTCCCCAAAGGGGGCCAGACAGCGATCATAGCATGTCACCCTATCCAAAACTAACATTAGTTACATTGTTCCCAGCTATCGCCATGGACTACAGAACCCCTCCCACCATGCCATTGGTTATCAAATACATTGTTATCTATGAATGTTATCAGTTACATTGTTCTCAGTTCTCTCTATGGACTACCAAACCCCTCCCACCATGCCATCAGTTACATTGTTACCATTTACATTGTTCCCAGCTATCGCCATGGACTACAGAACCCCCCCCCATGTTATCAGGTAAATAGTTCCCAGCTCTCTCTCTATGGACTACAGAACACCTCCCACCATACCATCAATTACATTGTTACCATTTACATTTTTCCCAGCTATCGCCATGGACTACAGAATGCATTCCCCATGTTATCAGGTAAATCGTTCCCAGCTGTCTCTATGGACTACAGAACTCCTCCTGCTAAGCTGTCAATTACATTGTTATCAATTACATTGTTCCCAGTTATTACGAAGGACTACAGAACCCCTCCCACCATGCCATTAATTACATCGTTCCCAGCTATTATGAAGGACTACAGAACCCCCCCCCCCGCTCCCCCGTGTTATCAGTTACATCATTCCCAGCTAAATCTGGGGTCTGCAGAACCCCTTCCCCACATTATCAATTACATTCTTCCCAGCTCTCTCGATGTACTACAGAACCCCTCCCACCCTGCCACCAGTTACATGCATATCATTTACATTGTCCCCAGCTATTATGAAGGACTACCGACCCCCCCCCCATGTTATCATTTACATTGTTCCCAGTTCTCTTTATGGACTAGTGAACCCCTTCCAGCATGTCATCAGTTACATTGCTACCATTTACATTGTTCCCAGCAATCACCATGGACTACAGAACCCCTCCTCCATGATAGCATTTACATTGTTCCCAGCCAGGGGCGGACTGACAACTCATGGGGCCCCGGGCAATAGGGGATCATGGGGCCCCTGTGTCCTTGCCCAAACTCAAAAAAGTCTATGAAAAAGGTACCAGGGGCATCTCATGGGGCCCCCTACTGACCCGGGGCCCTCGGGCAGTGCCCGAGTTTCCAAATGGTCAGTCCGCCCCTGTTCCTAGCTGTCTCTATAAACTACAGAGCCCCTCCCACCATGCCATCAATTACATTGTTATTAGTTACATTGTTCCCAGCCATTATGATGGACTACAGAGCCCCTCGCTCCCCCATGTTATCAATTACATTGTTCCCAGCTCTCTCTATGGACTATGAACATTCAGCCACTTCCTGTCTACATGCACACACTTTGTGTAGGCGGCACGTCATCTCTCCTAGCCCAGGGCGGACTGACCATTCAAGCACTCAGGCACTGCCCGAGGGCCCGGGGGTCAGTAGGGGGCCCCATGAGATGCCCCTTGTACCTTTCATAGGCTTTTTTTGGGTATGGGCAAGGACACAGGGCCCCATGATCCCCTATTGCCCGGGGGCCCCATGAGTTGTCAGTCCTCCCCTGTCCTAGCCTATGTCCTGATAGTGACAGCAGTGAACTACGCCTGCGCAGATAGATAAATGGATTTATGGATGGATGGATGGATGGACAGAGAGATGGATGGATGGATTTATGGATGGATGGACAGATAGATGGATGGATGGATGGACAGATAGATGGATGGACAGATGGATGGGTGGATGGATGGACAGATGGATGGGTGGATGGATGGATGGATGGATGGATGGACAGATGGATGGATGGACAGATGGATGGGTGGATGGATAGATGGATGGATGGACAGATGGATGGGTGGATGGAAGAACAGATAGATGGATGGATTTATGGATGGGTTGACAGATAGATGGATGGATGGGTGGATGGATGGACAGATAGATGGATGGATGGATGGATGGACAGATACATGGATGGATGGGTGGATGGATGGACAGATAGATGGATGGATGGATTTATGGATGGGTGGACAGACAGATAGATGGATGCATGGGTGGATGGATGGACAGATGGATGGATGGATTTATGGATGGATGGCCAAGTGGACAGATAGATGGATGGATGGATGGATTTATGGATGGACAGATAGATGGATGGATGGATTTATGGATGGATGGATGGATGGACAGATGGATGGATGGATGGATAGACGGATGCATTTATGGATGGATGGATGGATGGATGGACAGATGGATGGATGGATGGATGGATAGACGGATGGATGGATGGATGGATGGACAGATGGATGGATTTATGGATGGATGGATGCATACAAAAGAATGTATAAAAAGGTCCCTATTGCCCCCCATCTCTGTGGGGGTCCCCGAGTCCTGCGCATACATTAGTTCATTATAAATGGCCCCCACGCACCACAGCGCACAATAACGGCCAATCACGCGATACCACGCACCGCATCAGAAGAAAGGGCCAGCTCTGGTTTTTGCTGCGTCGGCAGTCCATCAAAACAAATAAGTTGCCTTTTTGCGCCGCACATGAGCGCACAGCAGAACACGCGTTGGCATGCATGCAGGAACCCAGCGCAGCGCCCCACAAAGTCAGGGAAGGGTCCTGCATGTAGTCCAATGTTCCTCCAATCTCCGTCCAGTTGGGAGGTGGGACATGACGCCATGTGAGATGTTCTGCACACATGTGCGGCTGGTCCCATCTGTAGCTGTCACTGCTGGGGACATGTCACGTAGATGGTGTCCCCCAAACAAAGAAGGAGATTATCTGAGCCTGTGAGTCACAAACATTACTCATTGTTAGACCGACTGCGGGAGAGGATCATCAATGGACCATATAATCCCCGTCCTCCTTCACAAGGAGCCCTTGTCCCTCCCTACATACAGCCATCGGAGGGGACCTGATGACATCTCTGGTGTGCCATCCAGTGAAAGGCCTGCTGTAGTCTTCTATCTGCATTCAGGGGCTCTTTGGGAAAGTCGCAGCGGACTATTCACCGTGGCGTTGTAATGTGGTGTTGCTGTGAAAAACTGCTGGGAGAGCCTGCTTCATTATTCTGTATAAGGGGCCTGTGAGCCATGGCCAACTGCAAGATGGTATCAAGCCTTCTGACCAGGGGCGGACTGACCATTTGGAAACTCGGGCACTGCCCGAGGGCCCGGGGTCAGTAGGGGGCCCCATGAGATGCCCCTGGTACCTATTTCATAGGCTTTTTTGAGTTTGGGCAAGGACACAGGGGCCCCATGATCCCCTATTGCCCGGGGCACCATGATTTGTCAGTCCGCCCCTGCTTCTAATGTAAGAAGAGGCACCGGTGTAAGGGGGGCCTCTGATAGGGACTCTGACATAAGGGGGACTCTGATAGGGACCCTGATGTAAGGGGGACTCTGATGGGGACTCAGACGTAAGGGGAACTCTGATGGGGACTCTGACATAAGGGGGACTCTGATGGGTACTCTGATGTAAGGGGGACTCTGATGGGGACTTGGACGTAAGGGGGACTCTGATAGAGACTCTGACGCAAGGGGACTCTGATGGGGATCCTGATGTAAGGGGAACGCTGATGGGGACTCTGACATAAGGGTGATGTCTGGGGGACTCTGATGGAGGGGGCTCTGATGACTTGACGTAAGGGGATTCTGATGGGGACCCTGATGTAAGAGGGACTCTGATGGGGACTCTGACATAAGGGGGACTCTCATGGAGACCTTGACGTAAGGGGGACTCTGATAGGGGCCTCTGATGTAAGGGGGACTCTGATGGGGACCCTGACGTAAGGGGGACTCTGATGGGGACCCTGATGTAAGGGGACTCTGATGGGGACCTGATGTAAGGGGGACTCTGATGATGGAGGCTCTGATGTAACAGGGGGACTCTGATGGGGACCCTGATGTAAGGTGGACTCTGATGGGGACCCTGATGTAAGGGGGACTCTGATGGGGACCCTGATGTAAGGGGGACTCTGATGGGGACCCTGATGTAAGGTGGACTCTGATGGGGACCCTGATGTAAGGGGGACTCTGATGGAGGCCCTGATGTAACAGGGACTCTGATGGGGACCCTGATGTAAGAGCAACTTCGATGGGGTCCCTGATGTCAGGGAGACTTTGATGTATGGGAGCTCTGATGTAAGAGGCACTTTGAAGTAAGGGGACCCCCCCCATAGGGACTCTGACGTAAGGGGGCCTCTGATGGGGAATCAAACATAAGGGGGACTCTGATAGGGACTCTGATGTAACGGGGGACTCTGATGGGGACCCTGATGTAAGGGTGACTCTGATGGGGACCCTGATATAAGGGGGACAGTCCCTGATGTAAGAGGGACTCTGATGGGGACCCTGTTGTCAGGGAGACTTTGATGTATGGGAGCTCTAATAGAGACTCTGATGTAAGGGGAACTTCAATGTAAAGCTGGTCATACATGGATCGACATTCCCAGCTGAACTGACTGAATTGTGATCCATGTATGGGGGGGGGGGGGGGGTTGTACAGATGTCAGGCTACTGATCGATCTCAGCACAACCGCCGTGTCGGATTCCCGGCTCGATCACCGTCCCTGGCTATAGCGTTCCTGATCAGTGTATTCTGATGGCGGACTCTATTTTGACTCTGCGCTGTCAAAATAGAAAGGCTCAGCAGGGAGGTGCCCCCCCCCCCTCCACATCAAATGTGTGGATGGGGGAATCAGGTCATGGGTTTTTTTTTTTGGTTCAACCCACTGGTAATGTATGGACTGCTTAAGGGGGCTCTGATAAGGACTCTGATGTAAGGGAGACTTTGATGGGGACCCTGATGTAAGGGGGGGAATCTGATGCAAGGGGGGCTCTGATGTAAGTTAGACTTTGATATAAGGGGGAATCTGATGTAAGTGGGAATCTGATGTAAAGGGGGACTCTGATGTAAGGGAAACTCTGAAGGGGACTCTGATGGGGACCCTAATGTAAGGGGGACTCTGATGTAAGGGAGACTCTTTTGGGGTCCCTAATGTAAGGGGAACTCTGATGGGGACACTGATGTAAAGGGGGACTCTGATGTAAGGGAGACTTTATTGTAAGGGGGAATCTGATGAGGACCTTAATGTAAGGGGGGGACTTTGATGTAAGGGGGACTCTGATTGGGATCCTGATGTAAGGGGCCCCTGATGTACAGTAAGAGAGGACTCTGATGTAAAGGGGATCTGTAAAGGACACTGATGTAAGGGAGACTCTGATGGGGACCCTGATGTAAGGGGGACTCTGATATAACGTGGAATCTGATGGGGAACCTGATGTAAGGGGGACTCTGATAAGGGCTCTGATGTAAGCGAGATCCGTTTTTACATCCGTTTTTCTTCCGGTTTTCATCAGTTTAGATACATTTACATCCATTTTTGGTCAGCTTACATCCATTTATATCAGTTTAGATCCGTTACATCCCTTTTTGGTCGGTTTACATCTGTTTGCATCCATTTAGATCAGTTTTTCATCAGATTAGATCCGTTTACATCCTTTTACATCTATTTTCATCCGTTTAGATCTGTTTACATCCATTTTTGGTCGGTTTACATCAATTTTGCATCTGTTTAGATCCATTTACATCAGTTTTTTCATGTTTACATCCATTTACATCCGTTTTTCATCTGTTTAGATCTGTTTACATCCGTTTACATCCGTTTTCATCCATTTAGATCTGTTTACATGCGTTTTTGGTCGATTCACATCCATTTTTCATCTGTTTAGATCCGTTTACATCCGTTTTTTTCATGTTTACATCCATTTATATCTGTTTTTCATCTGTTTAGATCAGTTTACACCCATTTAGATCTGTTTACATAAGTTTTTCATCCGTTTAGATACATTTACATCCATTTAGATCTGTTTACATGCATTTTTGGTCACTTCACATCCGTTTTTCATCTGTTTAGATCCGTTTACATCAGTTTTTCATCAGTTTAGATCCGTTTACATCCATTTAGATCTGTTTACATCTGTTTTTTGGTCGGTTTACATCCGTTTTTCATCCATTTAGATCCATTCAAATCCATTTACATCCATTCTTGGTTGGTTTACATCCATTTAGATCCATTTACATCCGTTTTTGGTCGATTTACATCCGTTAACATCCGATGACATCTGTTTTTCGTCCCTTCCATTTTTTTTTTGGTTGAAGAAAAATAGGG